AAAAACATTGTGTTTCTGCTTTTAGTTCAGTTTTTGGAACCCACTTCAATGGAAATGCAGCCAATTACAAATGTAAGTAATGTGCAAGTTCAGGGAACCATTCCACGGGGCTTGCACCTGTTATTGGATATGTCATTCATTACAAAGAAAGAAATAGTTTCATACAAACTAACAACATCGGGTAACATGCGGCCTGCATTTAAAAGGAACCCATTTGTTTTGGTCAGCCCTGGTCAACCGACAAGCGTTGTACATGTGGTACAAGAAATCATTTCCTTGCATAACATTTAAACAACAGGCTCCAGGATCTGTGGACAGATGACAAGTCCAAAATGCGTCTGCACACACCGGTTTGAATATAGCCTCCTATATTGTGTTCTTGAAAATGACAGCATGCTAAATGGAATACATGTAGCATGTGTAGTGTCAGGAAAAGTTTATGCCATTACTATATTTTAACCAAGTGCACTTGTCAGCTATAACTGTTTTAGTTATTATTTGTGGATAGCTGCAAATGATATATTCCATTGGAAAGTTCACTACGAACACTTTGCAAGTATCCTACAAGTACATGTAGCCTAGGTGAATAATGTAATAGAAAGCACATACATGTATGTAATGAGTAACATGTGAGCCTCATGAAATAAAAAAAAACATGTTGCAGAAGGGGGGGGGGCCGACAAGCAATGTTAAGAGGTTTTTTTTTAGAAATCATGTGACATAAATACATTGTTGTATGTTGACAGTTACAAATAAAGAAAGGGTATCTGGCTGTCCAATTGCACCGGTGGTGTATCCCTTGCCCTGGAATGAGTACTCAATCAGTCTGTTTCTGATGCAGTACTTTCCCCAAGAACGTCACACTCACACACTATTATTGTACTCAGGACTGCTGAAATCCCCTCCACAAGTCCATACATTCATTGAAGTGCAGGAGCTTTGCCCTCAATTTCTCCGGAGATTTCAACTTCAGACAATGGGTGAAATTTGGGAATGACTTATGATGTCTGCCTGGACAAAATTCAAATAGGCCGTCATCCTTGTAGGCAGCTGCAAAATCTTGAACATCATTATCCAATTTAGGTCGTTGCTGCCGAGATGGTTCTGTCTGGACTTCTGTCAAGGACTTCATGAAAATGTTATCTAGGTCACGCCCGAAGGCTCCACTGAGTTGGCTGCATCGCTGAACCTGCTTATTAGTATAAACACCTTGTGATCTAGACAACATTTCCTTGTAGTCTCTGTTTAAGAATTCATTAACAAGGTCCAAGCCAATATTGCCATTTGGCCGACCTGTCAAATTTGCCACTCGATTCCAAGTGATGTCATGTGCAACTCGGGCCGGATAAAACCCATTTACTCCTGCTAGCATGTGATGTGCCAAGATCAGATACTAATTCACATGATTCTTATTCCAAAACTGTAGGGTGTTGATCCTTCAGTGGCTCAGGATGGCTGGACCATTGCCTTCACGTATGGCATCACGGAAAGCCATATGACAAAGACCCTCATACAATAAGGCTCTTGAATATTCCCTGACCCCGTCACTTTGCCCGGCGTCACACGCACGTCGTTCACATTCAGGGGAGCAGAACCACTTGTCAGGTAAATCTTCAGCCTGGGATCCTATGCAGTCTGGATGATACCATTCATACATGGAACATTGCCCTTGCAATTCACATTGGATCATATCCTCCTCCTTTCCAGTTTTTGTATGGCATATACAATAAATGTAGGACTTGGCAGCCTGACAGTCTGCTGAACACCACCAATCACCTTCCGGGGGTATCTGGACATTAGCACAAAAGTAGTGGAACCACCTACATTCATTGTTCGCGCAGCGGATCATTACTTCTCCAGTGTTTTCCTCACACTTGCAGCCATCAGGAGGGGAATTCACTTCTTCTATACCCCGTTGTCATCATCACCAAAGTTGTCAGTGTCGCGATCCTGCTGACACACTGTCTGTACATCTTCATAAGGAATTTCTGGCCAAATGAAATTCACCATTTCACTCGTGAGATTTTGTAGCCACTCCTTTTGTTTGGTATCATTTTCAGCGGAGGGATAATCTGCTGGACAATCTGTGGGAGCATCTATATGTGACAACTTCAGTGCTAGCATCATTGCTCAAAGCATGGGTACTGAAGTCTATAAGGTGTCGCACATGATTGAAGTTGTCCATGACTTTCTTTTTGACTGAGTTATGGCCATAATCTTGTTTCAACTGGTGAAGTGTACCACGCTGTGTGTTGCTTTCCCCTTAAAGAATTCATTCATAGTGTCTTGAAGCAAAATCCCTCGGCGATGGAACTCTTACGGGCATTGCACTAAGCCCTCCAACCTAGCTGCTGCAGTCGGCCCACCTAGTCTGGAACGTTTGGCATCTACCATTCTCTCCACAGAAAGACCATCTCCAAAGCAGACAATGGGGTACAAGTCATCCTCACCATGTGATGGCACAAACTGATGCAAATACTCCAGTATACGGATGGTGCCTGGGGTGGTGGAGGGATTCTCATCAACAACGCCTAAATTTACTATTTCACTTTTCTTATTCAAAGCATCACTGTACTGGTGTCTTTCTGGGACAGAACATTTGACTTTCTTGAGAAAAGGTAAATGTTCCCTCAAAATGTACCCCAATATACCACAGCATCGGTGCTTCAAAGCTGACCAATCATCATGCGATGGAAGGAAAGAGACCAACGGTATAGCTGGATTCTATCTAGTCAAAAGAACAATTTTGGCAGCTTCTGGACATCGTTTTTTTTCGTGGCATGCATATGATACATACAAGGACTTGTAACTTGTCTAGCCTAAATAAAGCACTTCCCAGACAAGTTCCCAGTCCTCCGTTATTACAAAACTTCCCATAGTGGGCAGAAAAAAAGCAATAATAACAGGTTTAATTTGATTCAAATTATCGTAGTTATACAAGTACAGAAGCATAGAACATTTTCTTTCCTCTTTATATAAATTGTTTCCCTTTTAACCGCTATACATTTCATTTAACATAATTATGTCGTGCAATGTTTGTTAAGATTGGGCAAAATTCATAAATTGTGCACGTGATATTCCCACCCAATCTTAAGAATGAGCGCTCATTCTTAAGAACGCGTGCTCGTTCTTAAGAATGGGCGCTCATTCTTAAGAATGCGCGCACATTCTTAAGATTGCGCGATTTTCAAGAATGGGCACAACACATCCAGATTACTAGACCCATGAACGTGGCTTATACAACGCCACGTTCACGGGTCTACCAGATTACATGGTTTTCATTGAAGCATTGTGGCTTCAGTGTGTATAACAACAATTGGATGGACTGCTTGTGCTTATATTGCAAGTACATGTACCTCCAAGTCATAGCTAGTGTACAATTTTAACAACTATTTTCTTAAGTAAAAACCTCATATAGTAATTTCTATACCCTTCACTTCATCAAGCCACGCAGCGCTGAGCCGCGATGCAGCTGTCGAGCGCAATTTGAGTCCCCCACGCAAGTTTAAACTTGCGCGAGGGACTCCTGCAGCACGCAAATTACACAGCGCCATTTTAATTTGCGTGCGCAAGTTTAAACTTGCGCAAAGGCGATCGCAACCTTCTTTTGCGGGCAGGATTTTCATTGATGAAGAATTTTTTTCAAAACACGAGTACATGGAAAAATAATGGAATAAATGAATGAATAAAGAAATAAATAAAAGGGGAATTCAATTAGCGTCAATGAAAAGAATCATAGCAGTGCTTATCAGAGAAAGTGTTTAAGGGTACGTGGGGGCGGGGCCAGGGAGGGGACCGGGCAAGCAATCAACTTAAGGCAAAATAAAAAAAAAACATGTTTAGCGTCCTGCCTCTTTGACAAAAAGGAAGGAGGAGGCCCTTTTTTTTTTTTTTTTTTTTCAAAATGGCCGCCCGACACATTTTTCAAGACAACGCGGCCGGGCTATTTTTCAAGATGGTTACCAGCTTTTTTTCAAAATGGCCGCCACTTGGACTCATTGACTATTTCCACAGCTTTATACACGGTATGAAAGTCTAAAAATATGATTTCTTTCGTCAGAGATCTTTAAAATTTATCAATTTTTGTCTTTAAAAAAAAAAAAAGGAGGCGGCCTCTAAAAAGGAAGCGGGCGGGGACGCTAAACATGTTTTTTTTTTACTTCGCCTAAGCACATTAGCGGCGATTGCTTGGAAAGTGTACTGAAGTTGTCCAAAAATGGAGACCAGCTTCAAGTTTTTTGCTTTGTAAACCTAATTAGCATTTTATTTGTATTCTTGAATGTAAATAAATCATAATTTCCTAGGTGTAACCCGCTGTTAACGTAAAAAGAATGGTTATGATCCCTTCAATTGTTTAAGTTTTGACATTATACTAATCATTTACATTATTTTTAAAATGCTTATGTATTCCACAATTAAAAAAGTACTTACTCTTAAAAAAATACTAATTAATGTAACAATTAATAAATTGTACGGTACAATAATTCATATTGTTTTTAGAAATACTTGCATAACATTTCGAGCGCTGTGAACACTTCAACAATGCATAATTTGAAAAAAAAAATAATGAATGCATTACTAATTTAATTAATTAATTAAATGTATTACTTTAATAAATATTTTTTATTGCAGGCTCAATGATTCATATTAAAAAATGTTTACAACTTAAAAACGCTATGCATATAAAATGGTAATTATTTTAAAAAGTAAATAAATTTGCAAATGATTTAATTAATGAATTTAGTCAAATGTTTAAAAAAAAAAGCATTAAGGCATTGTCTCCCGAAGCTCAGTGATGCTATTAAATCGGAGAAAAAATCTGCTTTAAAAATAATTTTACATATCTGCATGAGCATACCCAGGGGCAAAATAGTTTAGCGGCTCTGTATGCGTGGCCGGGAAATTCTATGCAGTGCGCAAGTTTAAACTTGCGTGCGCAATTTGTTGCAAGGAAATGAATGCGCGCGCAAGTTTAAGGGGACTCACTTTGCGCTCGACACATGCACCACAGAAGCTGAGTCCAAACATTGAACAACTCTTGAGGGCGCTTCATTTTCTCAATTCCGCGACTGACTGCAAGTGCAAGTGCAACTGCAAGACATGCAAGAGGCAGGAGGCAATTGCGAACGTGGGAAAATTGAATCGGATACCGTTTTTGTACTGTATCTATGTATTGTCAGATTCTGTGTCCGTATCACACTCTCCGTACAAACACCTGGTGAACATGTTCAAGTTGACGTTGTACGTTGGATCAGGTAAGGCATGTAAGGGGTCTAATGCCATGATGCAGCGACCTGCCTGTGCGTGATCATGGAGTCCGAAAATTTGGGACTCTCAATACTGTGTTTATAGCTCCATGGCATGAGGGTCCCAAAACTTAAGGTATCCATATCGTGCAAAAGTTTGTGCTGCATAATAAAACCAGTGTGAATCAAATTGGCAAGCTTCTGTAGCGTTCACTTTGAGTTACACTGCACTGCGCCTTTAACGCATCTTGTATATATGTTTAGTTCAGAGGTCAACCTTCGCGCATTCAGTTTCGTTTCGTTATCGTTCTGTCACACACGCAATATTTACAGTGCTTTTCCTATAATTTCGCTTGGAAGTTACAAGCTAGAATCAACGCTATTCTTTACATGATTTATTAAACATCGGCAGAGCTATTCCAGTGAGCAATCCAAGTTTCTCTCGTGGATTTTTGTGAGTGTTTATTGACCGAACTTTGTGAGCGTTTTCACCACGTGAGTTGAAACCAACTCGCCCCGCATTCACGGCGCGGGCAGTCGCCCCGTTCGCGTTGCGTTGTGCATGGACTCGGCCCAGTTTTGGCTGTTTACATACTGCAACTTGGTGAGTCACTTAACTTGCAATAAACTCGGGAGTTAAAGTAGGACAGTACAATTAATTCCTACATTGGTGACCCTGACCTGAGCCGAACAACATGGAAACCAAATCTGACTCTGATCATGCTGATTCCAAACCGGGCACATCCAAAGGTGCTACTGCTAGTTCATCTCCATCTGCACCCACAACATCAGCTGCAGTGACTTTGAAGTTGCCTCCATTTTGGCCCAGTGACCCTGCCCTTTGGTTTGCGCAAGTTGAAGCGCAATTTCTAACCCGTAACATCACTCAGCAACACACCAAGTTCGCATACGTGGTTGGTTCCTTGCAGCCAGAGTTTGCAACTGAAGTGAGGGACATCCTCATTTCACCCCCTGAGCATAATGCCTATGACAGCCTGAAGACCGCCCTCATCCGTCGAACCTCCGTATCAGAGCAGAAAAGACTGCACCAGTTGCTAATATCGGAGGAGCTGGGGGACCGCAAGCCTTCACAATTACTACGTCGTATGCGGCAGTTGTTAGGAGACAACACGCTTGAAGAAAACATCCTGAAACAACTGTTTCTTCAGAGATTATCGACCAACGCCCAACTAATCCTGGCATCAACATCTCAAACGACACCCATTGAGCAACTCGCAGAACTTGCAGACAAGATTGTTGAAGTTTCTGTCTCGCCTACTGTACATGTCGGGGCAGTTTCATCCAGCCAGCCTGGCAGTTCGTCGCCTCCAACAACCATGCCAAGTTCAGATATGCTCACACTACAAGCCAAAGTTGACCAGCTAACCCAACAAGTCAGCGCTCTCACATGCCAACTCTCCGGTCAGCCCCGTGGGAGATCGAGGAGGCGTGACACAACCCCACCCAATCGACGCCCATCTCGCAGTCGCAGCCCATCACACTCTGGCACTGACTGCTGGTATCTGTGACTGCGATTCGGCGCTGATGCCAGAAGGTGTGTGTCCCCATGCAGCTTCAAACCCCGACAACAACAGGGAAACTCCGATGCCAGCGACTAAAGGCGACGAGTCTCCCTGGCACCGACACCAATAGTCGCCTATTCTTCATCACTGAACGCAAGACAGGGGCCCGGTTCCTGGTAGATACTGGAGCGGAAGTGAGCGTTTGGCCTCCATCGGCTGCAGATAAACGTCATGCCCAGTCTTCATCTATCAATCTACAGGCGGTGAACAAATCTCCCATCAACACATATGGTGAGAAGTCACTCACTTTGGATGTCGGGTTGCGTCGAGTCTTCCGTTGGGTGTTCATTATCGCGGACCTGCCGAACCCAATAATTGGAGCAGATTTTCTCCAACACTTCGGACTGCTAGTCGACGTTCAGCGTCGCAAACTCATCGACTCCACTACAAGCCTCACCGTAGGTGGAATCGGTTCAGATGCCATTCCCATCAGTCCAACTGTTGCCAAGCTGAGTGAGTCACCCTATGAAGTGATCCTCGGACAATTTCCAGAACTGACACGTCCGACTTACACTGCCAAGGACGTCAAGCACTCTATAACGCATCACATTGTGACTAAGGGTCCACCAGTGTCAGCACGCCCAAGACGCCTGGCTCCCGACAAGTTCATCACGGCGAAAGACGAGTTCAATCATATGCTTGATCTCGGCATCATCGAAGCTTCGGACGGTGCATGGTCGTCGCCTTTACATATGGTGGCCAAGAAGTCAGGTGACTGGAGGCCGTGCGGAGACTACCGTGCCCTCAACCGTGTTACAGTACCCGACCGCTATCCGATTCCCCATCTGCATGACTTTACAGCCAATCTGGAGGGTAAACGCGTGTTCTCAAAGATCGACTTAGTACGCGCTTACCACCAAATTCCGGTCCATACTGACGACATCCACAAGACCGCCATCACAACACCTTTCGGTCTGTTCCACTTCCTTCGCATGCCTTTCGGCCTGCGGAACGCCGCTCAGACTTTCCAACGATTCATCGACATGGTTACGCGAGACTTACCTTTCGTGTACGCCTACATTGATGACATCCTGGTCGCGAGTGAAACAGAGGAGGACCATCTTGAGTACTTGCGTCTTCTCTTCAGCAGACTTTCCGAATATGGCATTATCATCAACCCATCCAAATGCCAGTTCGGGGTTCCCACCCTCGATTTCCTGGGACACAGAATCGACGCTGATGGTATCCGTCCCATGAGAGACAGAGTCGACGCGATTGCAGAGTTCCCTCAGCCTACCTCCACCCGTCAACTGCGCAGATTTTTGGGACTGGTAAACTTTTACCATCGTTTCGTGCCAAACTGCGCAAGCGTGATCGCCCCGCTGACAGACCAGCTGCGAAAAAGACCCAACCAGTCACGCAAATCAACCAAACTGAATTGGACACCTGAATGCCAGACAGCGTTTCTGCAGATCAAGCAATCACTCGCTGACACCACACTTCTCGCTCACCCTTCTTCGGTACTACCAACTGCCATGATGGTGGACGCCTCGGACACGGCAGTTGGCGGTGTGCTTCAGCAACTTTCCGAAGGAGTATGGCACCCCCTGGCCTTCTTCTCTCAGCGTCTTAAACCTGCAGAGAGTCGCTATAGCACCTTCGGGCGCGAACTACTGGCCATGTACTTGTCAGTCAGACACTTTCGACACTTCATCGAAGGACGAGAATTCTGCATTTACACTGACCACAAACCGTTGGTGTATGCTCTCAACTCCAAACCTGACCGGCATTCACCTAGAGAAGTTCGTCACCTGGACTATGTATCTCAGTTTACATCCGACATTCGTCACATCAAGGGCACAGAGAACGTTGTAGCGGATGCGCTTTCCCGATCTCACATCAGTGCCTTGACAACATCAACCCAGATTGACTTCGAGCAGATGGCCATGGATCAGACACACGACCAGGAACTACACAGAATCCTGGAATCACCCACATCCCTGGACCTCAAGCAAGTTCCGATACCGAACTCAAATACATCCATCTGGTGCGACGTGTCGACAAGTCATGAACGCCCTTTCGTACCCCAAAACCACAGATGGAGTGTGTTCGATTCCTTGCACAATCTGTCTCACCCTGGCATTCGAGCAACACTGAAACTGGTTGGTTCACGCTACGTCTGGCCACGCATGAACTCAGACATCAGAGCATGGGCCAAGGCCTGCGTCAAGTGCCAGAAGTCCAAGGTCCACAGCCACACCAAGACTCCGTTTGGAACCTTCGCATCTCCAGATGCACGTTTCGATCATGTGCACATAGACATCGTGGGACCACTCCCCCCTTCCCAGGGATATTGCTATCTACTCACATGCGTTGACAGGTTTACACGCTGGCCAGAAGCAATACCTATACCCGACTGCACCGCTGAAACAGTCGCCAAGGCCTTTGTGAACAGATGGGTCTCCACCTTTGGTGCTCCGTCTACGATAACCACAGACCGCGGACGACAGTTTGAGTCGGCCCTGTTCCACGCTTTGATGGTTCTCCTAGGTACCAGACGCACGCGAACAACATCGTACCACCCCATAGCAAACGGTATGGTCGAACGCCTGCATAGACAGCTCAAAGCCTCTCTCAAATCGAGTACTAACCCTCAACGTTGGACCGAAGCATTACCACTCATCCTCCTCGGGATCCGCACGGTGGTAAAGCAGGATCTTGGTTGCTCCACCGCCGAATTGGTGTTTGGCACCACCCTGAGACTTCCAGGACAGTTTGTTGCACCCCCCAACGATACTGGTAATCTCGCCGACCCTGCAGACTATGTTCACAGACTGCGACACACGATGCAGCACATCAGACCCACACCGCCTCGGTCGCGAGACAGAACTGCACAAATTCACAAGGATTTGATGTTGTGCAAGCATGTATTTGTCCGTTGCGATCATGTGCAGAAACCCCTCCAAACACCCTACAAAGGTCCATACCGAGTACTCAGCCGGACAGACAAGTACTTCACACTCGACCTGGATGGAAGGCAGGACACAGTCAGCTTAGATCGGTTGAAAGTTGCTTACCTCGATACAGATACCACCCCTTCCCAGCCATCTACCCTAGAGCTTAAGCGTGTACAGCCATCTCCTGCCATCCCTCCGCACACCGTTGATGACCAACACACAGCAACACCAGCAGCTCCACGGCACTCGCGTTCTGGCCGGCATGTTCATTGGCCATCCAAGTACACAGACTTTGACTGTGGTTGATTTAACCTGAACACTTATCGCTCGCTTCAATACCATTTTGCGATCTAGAGGGGGGCTACTGTAGCGTTCACTTTGAGTTACACTGCACTGCGCCTTTAACGCATCTTGTATATATGTTTAGTTCAGAGGTCAACCTTCACGCATTCAGTTTCGTTTCGTTATCGTTCTGTCACACACGCAATATTTACAGTGCTTTTCCTATAATTTCGCTTGGAAGTTACAAGCTAGAATCAACGCTATTCTTTACATGATTTATTAAACATCGGCAGAGCTATTCCAGTGAGCAATCCAAGTTTCTCTCGTGGATTTTTGTGAGTGTTTATTGACCGAACTTTGTGAGCGTTTTCACCACGTGAGTTGAAACCAACTCGCCCCGCATTCACGGCGCGGGCAGTCGCCCCGTTCGCGTTGCGTTGTGCATGGACTCGGCCCAGTTTTGGCTGTTTACATACTGCAACTTGGTGAGTCACTTAACTTGCAATAAACTCGGGAGTTAAAGTAGGACAGTACAATTAATTCCTACACTTCTTACTCACTACTAGTCTACAGTTTCTTCAATAATCCCCGAAACTTCTGTCTTCAGGTCTTGCATAGTTGCTGTTGTGAGCATTGTATCACCAAAAATTCAGCTTTTAATTCTAATTTTGCAGAGAGTCATCGAAATCCAAACGTGAGACATCACGTTGATATGTACCGCAATGCATTGTGCAAAAAAACTCCTCAGCTAGTATAACATTTTCATCGTGTAGATAAAACAGCGCCCTCTTGTTGATCTGAGTGAATGCAAAATGTTTCATTTTTTAACAGAGGGCGCTATGTTCATTTGGCCATTGATTAAAAAACAAGTAAGCTGCAAGGCTCTTTCTACACCTACCCAGAATACCTTGGGAATCACACATACATTTCTAGAGCATGGAGAATGACGTGGATGGTTTTTGAACTGCCAAAAACTTGCCTTAAAATTGGATTTAAGGTCTCAAATTTCGCAGGTGACATGCTTGCAACTATAGCATTTTGATGTATGTGTTGTGTTAGCCCCATAAATGTGGCCTATTTACTGGACTGCCTCCGTAAACATAGGCCACACATCCACATGTACAAAAATCGTGTCGACGGAGCCAAATTTTGATTTTCACATTTAGGCTTAGTTTGTAGGTTTTTTTTGCTTTAGAAGCCTACTTACCCTCTTTATAGGCTAATCAGAAAGTGCTGCCTTTTTCAGATGTATATTTTTCGTGAAATTTCCAGATTCATTTTTACACGTTTGCGTATCAAAATTTCAACATGAAATTTCACAAAAATTAGACATCTGAAAAAGGCAGCACTTTCTGATTAGCCTGTAAAGAGGGTGAGTGTGCTTCTAAAGCAAAAAACCCTACAAACTAAGCCTAAATGTGAAAATCAAAATTTGGCTCCGTCGACACGATTTTTGTACATGTGGATGTGTGGCCTATGTTTACGGAGGCAGTCCAGTAAATAGGCCACATTTATGGGGCTAGTGTTGTGTGGGCATAATTAGCTAAATGGTGAGTAAAAAAAAGTCAGTTGTAATTTCGCACGTTTTTATGCACTCAAGGTCCCAGTCTGGCCCTAGCCTAGTCCGAAAATTTGGGACTCTCAATACTGTGTATGAGAGTCCCAAAACTTAAGGTATTGAAAGCATGCAAAACAAGAAAATAGACTGGCACCTAAAACAACCAGTCCAACACAGCTTCAGTACTGCATCAATCAACCATGCCAAAAGAATTTAAGAAACATGTGGCATGAAGCGGGAACTAGTCTCAATTTACTACACATTTCTCCATAGTCAAGCCACCAGACTACTGACACTGAAATGAAGAGGTCAGTCTTTTCAAATAGTTGGACCATGGTTGGACATGTACCAGTCTAGTCTTTAGCCCCATTTTGGGATCACTTGACTTCCCTCTCATCTGCAAAGTATTGAAGAAAAGTCTCCTTTAAAAATTGAATTGAGTCTGCAAACTTGGTTGGTGAAATACTGATTTAGTTTTGCACGTTTTAGAGCACTCCAGAGCCCTGTCTGGCCCTAGCCTAGCCCCATAAATGTGGCCAATTTATTGGACTACATCCGTAAACATAGGCCACACATCCACATGTACAAAAACGTGTCGCACTTTGCCAAATTTTGCTTTTCATATTTAGGCTTAGTTTGTAGGTTTTTTTTGCTTTAATAGAAGCATACTCACCCTCTTTAATATAGGCTAATCAGAAAGTGCTGCCTTTTTCAGATGTCTAATTTTTGTGAAATTTCATGTTGAAATTTTGATACGCAAACGTGTGCAGAGGTTCAGCGCAGCATACCACGGCCACACTAGTGGGGCTAGGTGCATGCTTGTTTTTCAATTTTGTTGAATCATGGTTGATATTAAAGCTACATGTACATGTAGCTTGTACAGAACAACATATTATGACTATAGGCTTACAAGTAGAACAAACCACCAGTGGATCGTCTGATTATTAAAAGAAAAAGAGGAGTATAAGGGCCTTTGTCCTCGCGGGCGGGGCGCGTCGGCCCGACGCGATCAGCCACCAGATCGGAGCGCCCTCTGTGCATCGAGTGTGCCCGCGCCACGCTCGGGACCGGTGTAGTGTGAATATCCGACTCCATGAAATGTGGTAGTACTGCGCACTGGTAGTACTGTGACGCGTGAGTACAATACTATGCTATTTTAGGATCGTTTGGGGAGAGTGACCTGTCACGTGCGAGTGATCAACCAATAATAGGGAAATAGGGGTCCGATTTTCATAGGAGTCGGATTTTCATGTGACACCGGTCCTGCCACAGATTTATGCAACTTTTTCCGCTCCACGTGTATACATTTCCATTATGTCAAGTTGTCTCAACAGTCGAGTTGTCCCGAGTCGTCGGAGTCGAGTTGTCTCAACGGTCGACTTGTCTCAACGGTTGACTTGTCCCGAGTCGAGTTGTCTCAACGGTCGACTTGTCCCAAGTCGAGTTGTCTCAACGATCGACTTGTCCGACACTCATTGCACAGCACAGAAGCAGAAGGCACAGCTTAACAAACCGTCACTTAATAATAATGCTTGTGTTCATGTCTTGTTCAGTGACCGCAACTTATCACTAGAACTATGGGTCTTCCTACACAAGACCCATACATTTGCCATAGTTCTAGAGGTATATAAACTGTAAAATACTACATGTACTTATAGTCTGTATTAATAGTCATTAATGTGAGTGACTGTGAATCAGTGTGAGCATGGTGAGGAGCAGACTGGGACTAGAGGTAGAGTGCATGAGAACGTGCAAAATTACTACTGACGTTTTTTTGGCTACTCATCATTCAGCTAATTAAACGCCCACACAACACGTACATCAAAATGCTAAAGTTTAATGTACAAGCTTTAGGTTTTAGGAGTATTCATTTTGTCACATTGGTATTCACAATGCACTGCAGCACACATAAACGTAATGTCTGAAGTTTGCATTTCAATAACTTGCTGCAAAACTACAATTAACAGCTGATTTTTTGTGTGATAGAATGCTCACAACAGCAACTTAGCAAGGCAGGGGCTTTGGTGAGTAAGAAGCTTATGGTGTGATCATATTTTTGTTCTCAGCTGGAAGAAAAATATTTTCTGACAGTGACACTAAGACAATCTAACTACGAACATTTTAAGGCCAAGCAAAAAAAAGAGTTTCTCTTTTTTGAAGAAAAAAAATGAAGGACTGGAGGCTAGGAGGCGGCCCCCTTTTTTCTGTTTCTTTTTTCCCAAGATGGTGGATTTTCCAGGATGGTGAATGCCTTCTTCCATTTCCTCAACTCTTTCTAGAAAATTGTGTCCAAAGGGGCCATAAAACCCTTTCTACATCTACAAATGAAGTAGTAGCTTGAGTAACTCCAGCTCCAATGTTCATCGTGATGAGAATCGGAGCTGCAGTTACTCAAGCTAGCATCTATCTATAATTTTTATTTGGAAAAAAATATATAGAGACAATAGGCCTATAGACCTATTGTCAGTATTGACGATATATTTGCAAAATATATTGCAAATTTGTGAATTAAAAAAAAAGAAAAAAAAAAGAGGCAGGCAGAAAAAGGGGAGTGGGTGGAGAAGAGAGACTTCCTTTTGTTTACTTGCCCTACGTGTAGCATTAATACTATAACTACAGTGTGTGCTACTGAGTCATAGGCCCCCAATTTATTTAGGCTGACAATGGCTGAGTTTAAAATCATTGTATTAAATACATTGTCACTTCTGTCAGCATTTCCAACCTGGTATCTCTCTTGCAGATTCTGGACTCCTCATACTCTATTTGTGACCCCATCATCTTAGCTTCAGTCAAGACTTCTAAGAAAGCATACTGGAATGGTTTCCGCCATCTGATTGAAACAATTAAAGGTCAACCATGCACCCACCACATGGATTTTCTGCAGTCTTTTCTCAGCGTCTCTTGCTGCTGCATGGCCACAGCCCATCATCAATTTACTTACTGTTCAGGAGATACAGTTGGTATGGTTTCTACATTTCAGATTGTCCCAGGATTTGTTCCTGTCTGAGGAGCAACGATTTGATTTCACTGAGAACATTTCAAAATTATGGAAGTGAGCGAACACTGCCCTACATGCCATCCGTAGTGGCCTCCCACCACAGGCCTAAGTCATGTGAGTTAGTAGCTAGACTCAGTCACTATTCGCAATCCACACCGTTGGCCACTTTGGGATCATCGTCGGTGCTTCGAAGCTGCAAAAACTTGACCAACAAACTCCATACAACCTCCAGGCCTCACACTGTCCATGACGAGAGCAAGAAAAGTACTGCCCCTCATGATACGGTGCTACATCGCATGCAGCGATTAGAGGACTCTCTTCGTTACCATGGATACTCAACCATCCGAATTGGATTGGCCCTCGTTATCTTCATAGGTAAGGTTTTGTTTGCGCTTGTTATTAACAGGCATGCAACTTTTCCTCGGATCAGCTGATTTCCTCTTTTTTTACTTCCCATGTGTGCCATTGAAAATAGAAAAACACTGTACAAAGTCTGGGAAAAATTTGAATTTCCTCTTTTTTTGTGATTTCCCAGTTGCATGCCTGTATTAACTGTAGCATCGTCAAAACTATAATTGGGACGATCCCACCTCTGGCGGGGCAATCCCAACTATAACTGGGACTCTCTATAAAGTGCCCAAATTATAGTTGGGATAAACTATAGTTCCGATTGTTCCAACTATAGTAGGGGCCACCGCTGTTGGGGTATAACATTGACATGACATTACTAAAATAAGCTAGTTTGGTATCTCGAAGAAGTAGTCCAGGTCAAAGGTCATTCAGGATAAGATTGCTGACGCGATGTTGCGGGATATTACGAGGACACCCATTCTGCTCGTAATTATCGGGCGTGCTTCCTACGACCGTCTTCTTGCGTGTTCATGTGCCTTCGGTGAGCGTTTGATTATCCCGAATGACCCGTGACCCATATCATTGTGCACATGCGCAGTTGAAGTAAAGAACTGGCTTATTGTCCATTTAGTTCACTCTTTGTTATGGTATTAGAATAAGGGTATACCCTGTTACAGAAGTCACTAAATTATAAGCATCTGTTTGGAATATGTCATTCACCATCTACTTGGAAAGGAAGCCTGACCTACATTTGTATTTCAGAAGCAATGACTTGTGTACATCGCTTCTATGCCCAGTTCCATCATTCCTGTAGATCAACACAGTGATTAATCCCTGTCATCTACACTATTAGGCCAAAAAAAAAAGTCTCCGGTTTCTGGTATGGAGCTTGCCCCAAAAGTGGTGCGGTGATGCGGCTTTTTTTTTTTTTTTTACCTGTTTTTTTTTTTTTTGGCTTCAAATGTCGGCTGATGACTGCAAATGGTGCCCTACTAAACTTAGTGCAAATATATGGGAGTCCAGAGAGGCCACATAAAGCTTATTCTCGATCATAACCCCATCTAAAAACACGTTAAAATTGTGCAGCAGCAGGATTCCAGTCAAACCAGTGAGTTTGGCGGTTTTGAGACATCATCTTGTATTGAAAAAAAAACTTTTTCATTTTGCCGACGCGCATGGCTACGGCGAGGCGCGCGCATACCAGAAACCGGAGACTTTTTGTTTTTGGCCTTAAATGCAATTTCACTTTTTGTTTGGCAGGTGAAATTATTTTTTTCCACGTAATCATTTCAAGATCTTTGTGACGATTATGCAAAATGCAATTGAAGCCTCGGTGTTAGTGTCTTCACCTAAAATCTTCCCTTGGAGAGGTAAACAATTTTTGATAATTTCCTTGCAGGACTTGCCATCTACATCTTCCGTGAGGCGATCCGTGAACACGCGGCCGAGGAGGTGTCCCAGGTTGCAACGCGTTCCCTGGAGGACCGACTGGTGGCCGATAAGGCTGAGGAGTTTGCCAAGGGTCTGCTGAATGCTCTGTTGAAGGATGAGCCCATGCATCAGGTGGCCAGTCAGTTTGTGGTGGAAGTACTCCAACGCTCGGAGACCAAACAGGCTATGAGCACACTAGTGATGGATGTACTTCATGACCCCAACACCAAAGCTCAGTTAACAGCCACTGTTCAGCAGGTACCTGCAGCTATATGCTATCAACTTGTAAAAGTTGAGTTAGTGAAGTCAGTCACAAGTCACATCAAAAGTCAGGACACAAGTACATGTAACATGCATAGGGAAGTATAATTAGAAAGGATCGATGCCTTTGACACTGCTCATCTGAATTGCCACTCAAGTGGCTGACTTGAGACTGGATGACTTGTGTTTGTCTTCTGATTGACTCCTGATGGCCTGCGACAACCTGATAACAAATTAATTACATCTGTCGTATTTTGAAGATTGTGAGTCAGTCCCCCTTCATCCCCCTTATCTCAAGTTTACGCAGTTTTAGTTCTTTTGTTTAATAACCGAGTAAGATCCTCTGAAACTGTGCAACTGTGGGGGTAAGGGGGTATTTACCCCCCCCCCCCCCAGTATTATGTACAGACTTCCCTATCTTTTGAGGTGCCCTTTTTCACCAGCTTTTACCCCTGATATTTATAGAGAGTGCCCTTTTTAAAAAAAGAAAAAAAGAAGTGCCCTTTTCTTATTAGCCACCTTGTAGAGTTGCCCTTTTTGGAATTTTGCGCAACCGCCGGCAATTGTGCCGCCTTGAAAAGTGCCACCTATTGTTCATGATCGTCCAGTTTGAACAGTGCCTTGATTGGAAGGTGTACCAGCCCCCCTCCCCACCCCTCCACTTTTTTTTTACGGAGGCCAAGTGTCTGGAGAAAGATAAACCCGTCTTTATTTCAGCGTGGATGTGCGAGTGCCTTTTCACAAACTTTTTTAAACCCCCCCCCAAAAAAAAATTACCCTGCTACGCCTCTGTCTGCGGGTACACCATGGAACATCTCTTCTGAATATCTCTTCTGCGAAGAAGTGTGGTTCTAAAGAGAATTGGAGGTGAAAATAGTTCTCATCCTGTCAGTCCTTGGGTCCATCTGCGGAAGAGCAGTACTCTGTCCGTTCATCTGAGGATGGACAGAGAGTTCTGTCCAAATGTCTAGATTCATTATCACTTCTGCTTCTTTTCAGAATGACACTTCTTCACAAAGTGATGTTCCATGGTTTTCCATACAAACTTGGCACTTATGGTACCTTTCCACCATGCAAAGCTTCCACTCACATGAACCCATCACACACATTTTTTAAAGTTCAATTAAGATCCCAAATTGTAAGATTTGGGTCTTCCATGCTCATTTTTTTTTACATTAATGCTGGATGGTCGGTTTGCTTATGTTTCTCTCTGAACAGGTAATTGTAACAGCACTGAATGATAAGGATACCCAGGACTACATCAGATCAATGCTCAGTGTGATATTGTCAGACAAGGAGACCAGAGGTGCCATCACAAACCTGCTGGGGCACGTGTTCAGGGACACAGCAGTCAAAGAGCAGACAGCAGTCTTCTTCAGGGATGTGCTGAGGTCGGAGTCAGTCGTGGATCAGGCAACACAACTAGGTATGTTGATGAGCAATGAATAAAATAGAGCAGTGCTGTAGTATAAACAGGAGCATACACTCTTGTTTTATTATACTCCCGAGGACAATGCTTTGTGTTTTCCTTTGTCCCTGTTATATAACACTCTCCCATAGACTAAGCACACAAACTTACAACAGAGGACCGTTTTGAACAAAAGACCCAATGCCCGAGGACTGAAAGGAATTGTTCTCCCTTTGTGTGTTTGCCCTTGGGGGTTATGTAGAACAAGTACAAGTATACAGTAAAATGTCACAGATTGTGTACATTGGGATGGTTTGGGTGATGTGTGCCTCTATAGTCATTGCATCTCTAATTGTTTTATTTATAGCGTACATGTACGTAAATGATTTCAACTTTATGGTAGCAGATACGATTTGAAAGTTGGCTCGATTAAGTCAGCAATGAGAGTATTAGTTGGCATTTGCGCCATGTGACATTAAATCTCTCTTGTGAGTTTGTGTGGTTCTTAACAAAACCTTAGGAAACTCACCTTTTTAGTGGAACAAGAAACAGTTTCTTAAGCTCCAAAATAAATCTTAAATCTCCAAAATCTTCAAAATCTTCATAATCCACAGTTTTAACAATACTTGAAAGTGTTCGAAAACATATTGAAAAAAACTCAAAAAAAAACAGACAGCCAGAATGTCAGTTGTTGAAATGTCACTGTTAGATTTCTTTGGGATATCAAAGAGACACCAAGATTTTCTCATGTCAAGCCCTGAGCTCTGTTAATTAATAAACTTCATTATATTCCTGATGAAGTCATCATTTACTCCTTCATCAAGAGTTTCATTTAGGCCCAAAACCCCCAACTATTTCTGCTTCCGATTACATGGCATTCGAAATAGGGTAGGTAGGTAGGTAGGAAATTTATTTTTTTTGCCAATTCTTTTGGTGTACATGTACTTTCATATGGAGGCGTCGGCATGTAGTCAAGGGTAAATAGTTGAAATTGATGGTTTTGGGTATTTTTTCCCCTCATTTTTCCCATAAATAAATAAAGGTAGGTGCTGTCAGAATAGGGTACATGTAGGTAGGGAAACTGGAAGCAAAAATTTAATTTTTTTGGCCTGACCCTAGGGGTAAATCATTAATCAGAGTAAAAAATGTTGCCATTTTTCAAATAGATGCACATTACATGGTGAACTGGAGGTCATGTATTCCAATCCATGTATAGCTTTGGCAACAGTGCCAAGGATAATAGGCAAAACTAATCTTAAGTAGTCCCATTAATCGTGTTAATTTTTGATCAGGTAAACAGGTCACCCAGAGCGTCATCAGTGATCCAGTACTGCAGGAAAAGACAGGAGACTCGCTGTGGTCAGCCATGGTGTTTTCTGTGACTCCAAGGTGGTTCGGCGGATCTTCTTCATCCTCATCCACCTCGGACAGTGGCGATGCAAAACAGGCTGAGGACCTGAAGACAGGTACGGCAGAGCCAGATACTGACAAGGAGTCAGTTCTAGGCGGCTAATTTACAGGAAGGGGGTTCTTTTTACCAATGAGCTCCTCATTTTCATGGCTGCATTGAACGGTATGAAAGCGTAAAAGGACCGTAAGCGATAAAACACTTCATAACATCTGTATCTCTCTTACTATCTCGCAGTGGCGAGTTAATATCTTGATGCGGCAAGACGGGAACTTTGTGTTTCGAGATAGTAATGGCCTCGGCTAAACATCCACTCGTCATTGTGAGCTACTATGTTGGAAACAGAGAATTTCCTGTTTTCAAATAGAAATTGGTGGAATTGTAAGAAATTATTTAGAATTTTGTTTTTATTTATACAGAGATTTATTGCTTTTTCAGATACATGTAGATCAGATTAAGAAAAATGCAATACATGTATTGTTTTGGAAATGATGCACGTAAATACACTGAAATTTGTTTTATTTGTTTTATGTTTGGTATTTGTCAGTACTAAATACTGAGTAAACAACTCAAGTTATTTGTTACCTAGTAGCCAGTTAAATTATCGTGTGAAACAGGTGCTTTTAAACTGTCTACATATATAGGGCGTGGCCTAACAAAGGGAGGGGGGGGGGGAATTTGGCTACCCCACTTCAAGGTAATAAGCCGCCTCCCCCTCTTGTTCTCCCATGCCAAAATTTGGGTACGGCAAAAATGAGTCTTTTATTGTTGCCCCCCCCCCCTGAAAAATACCAGGTTGTAACTTTTAGAACTTCTCTGTAGTTCGTAAAATAGCATTGACCTTGTAAGAGCAATTAATAATTGCCCTTCTCCCCTAAAACGACAACAAATTTATCTGTGCCCTAATGGGGAAGATGTAAAATTAAACATGCTGGCATGTAGAAGACACAATTCACTCACATTGTTACATCAGCGTTGCATATTGTTGATATTTTACATTTATGGATCTGCCTCTAGCTGTGTGGATAATTGCCCGGCCTACAAAACATGTGTTTTTGCGACTGAACACAAATTTAAACACTTTTTTGCTGTCTTGTTGTAAACATGTTTACATGCTTAACATTTTTAGCATGAGGCGATAGTAAGAAAGTGTTTAGAATTGTGTTTACTCGCTAAACACATATTTTTTGTCGGCCATCAAGTATCCACACGCGTCAATCAGGCTACCTTTTGTCCCAATGCCTAAAATTGAAAACTTGGTCCCATGGTCAATTTGACCGCTCTTGCAAAAATTACTCAGAACTCTGTCAAAAATTATCAGATTTGGACGTTTGATGTCTCATTTTAAAGTGAAAAGGTGTATCTTTCAAACCATACCTATTTATATATGTTGGTTACACATTCTACGTCTGGCATTCCGTTATATTTTGTTTCCATTTTTTTGATACACACTGTATATCCCACTTGTCTAAATGGAACGTCCTGGCCGAAACTCAACAGGCATTTCGGAGAGCAAGATCGTGTGAGACTCAACCTACCCTGACCTCCAATGACCTGACGGAGAATTTAGACGATGGGCACATCACTGACATGACAATTCTGGATTTTTAGAAGACATTTTGACGTATACTAAACCAACAGCTTCTAATTAAACTTGATCACTATGGTATTCGCTCCCAAAAAAAAAAAATTGGATCGAGTCCTCCCCGACCATGAGATTCCGGAGAGTTTTTGTAAATGGTTGTGTTGAAGTAGTCATTGTTCGATGGGGAAAAATCAACCCAAAGTCATGGGTCAACCCCACAAAAATTGAATAGAAAAGGGAATGGTTCAATAAAGCTTAAAATTCACGTGTTTTTATACATGACTCAATACCTTGGAGAGCATTGTTTCACGATTTTTTGAACCGGGGTATTTATCATTGGTGTCTGTGGGAAGATAGTTTCTGCACACACATGCACTTCTAGACATTCTGTACTGCCACCTCGGTGTACACACCTGGCTCGATCTTCTTCAACAAGGGTATAGACAGCATCGCCAGGAATCCAACGAAAGACGATCCAGCCAAGACGTAGAACACAACAGAAAAACTTCCACTGGCGTCGTACAGGGATCCTGAAAATGAAACAAAATTCACGCAGTGGGTTTAAAAAAGACGCAGGGAACTATGGATATACCGTAGGAATGTATGTCCTGGACTCCTGGTATAGACCTTTATCATGCTGCCACCATTTCAGTCACGTTCCCTGTATCCAATAAGAGTATTGAATTGTAATGTTTGTGTGCTAAAAAGGAACCTGACTTTTTTTCCTTCCAGTCTCGCTTTGGTTACGTTGATTTGAATGAGAAAAAAATCAAGATAGCCGCAACATGATAATAGTTTATTCAAGTTTTTTACAACTTTGTTTGAGATGATTATTATGGGTCATATTCAATTCAAGAAGACATTTATTACATACATGTACGTACTCCTATAAAGTCATATAAAGTCTGTGTGTATTTTTCTCTGGTGTAATGTCCCTCAAAAGTGTCAAAGCATTTTTATATCCCTCATGTTGCTTTGTCTACCGTCAATTGACGTGTAACATTTAAAACCAGTTTTGCAGTGAACATTAAAACAGTAAAATATGTAACCAATCGCATTTCAACAATCGTTCTTTATTACGATATAATGACTCCTCAACTTATGGGATGAGTATATAGCTTTATAATCATAACACTCTAAAAAAAAAACACCACACCACCAGTCAGATATGATTAGAAACCAGTCAAATTTGACTATATAGCCATTCAGTGTCAGCTGGTTGCAACTGAAAAATCAATTTTCAATGACTCTAGCAAAACTAATCAGTCAATATTTTGACAGTTGTTTTTAGAGTGTAGGGCGCCCGCTTAGCTGTTTTGCAGAATATCAAAGTAATTTGTTTCACAACTTCAAACGTTTCGCTTCATAAAAAAACATACAATGAAACAAAATCAGTCGTAGAAGCATGTAGTTAGCGACGTACCTGCTGCTATAGGGCCTATAAGATCAAAGACCCCTCCAATGGCACTGAAGATTCCAAGAGCTGAGCCCAAATTATCTACACCAACAAACTCAAGCATCATCACTTGGCGAGCTGTATACTGGAACCCCAATGACAAACCAAACATGGCGGAGGAGATGGCGTAGAAAGGGTAAGTCTGCAGCTGTACGACCAGAACGAAACAACCACTGGCAAACATCGCTACTTCGTACAATACTAAAGTTGACACCTTTTGGCTTAGGAGACCGCTGAGAGGGACGCCTATGAAGCTGCCCACCCCAAAGGCAGTTATGAGCAAGGCAGCCTGTTGGTCTCCAATGCCGGAGGAATTGGCAAGGGGAACGAGGTAGACAAGGTAGGACCCGTGGCAAAGGATGAAAGTTGTTTCGGCGAAGCACAACATGGAAAAACGGTAGCTCCGACAAAGCAAGTTCAATCTCAAGAGCTTGACTGTTTCGTACAATAAACACTTAAGTGGATTCCTGCAGGCTATTGTAGACAAAGTGGGGATAACGTGATGTTCACCTGATTCCTCGTGATCATCCGCAGTAACTGTCACTCCCTTACGAGATAATTGTTTTGGCCGAAAGGCAACTCCTGCAGCACATACATTGCCAGTAATTGCACAGGTCACCAACATTGCTCCCCTCCAGCCGTAGGTGTCCGCTAAGAATTGAATGAAAGGGCCGAAAATGACAAATCCGAGGCCGTATCCAGCGGTCGTAATTCCACACGCTAGTGGATAGTATTTCTTAAAATACTGAGCGACTATGACATTTGCGGCTGCAAATGCAACCCCGGTGCCACTCCCTTGAAAACAAGACAATATAAGCATCGAGTTACTAATCTAACATGAGTGCAATTCATTAGAATGATAAGTAGGTCTACAACATCAGCAAGGATCTTAAATGCGGGGGACGGAGGAAAATGTCCCAATTACCATGAGAAGGGGAAAACCATGCAAATAGGGAAAAACCATGCATAAACCAAACTTCCAAATGTTGGAATAAACGGTAAATTACAGCATTGGAAAATAAGGCAAAATAAAAAAAAAACATGTTTAGCGTCCTGCCTCTTTGACAAAAAGGAAGGAGGAGGCCCTTTTTTTTTTTTTTTTTTTTTTTCAAAATGGCCGCCCGACACATTTTTCAAGACAACGCGGCCGGGCTATTTTTCAAGATGGTTACCAGCTTTTTTCAAAATGGCCGCCACTTGGACTCATTGACTATTTCCACAGCTTTATACACGGTATAAAAGTCTAAAAATACGATTTCTTTCGTCAGAGATCGTTAAAATTTATCAATTTTTGTCTTTAAAAAAAAAAAAAAAAAAAAAAGGAGGCGGCCTCTAAAAAGGAAGCGGGCGGGGACGCTAAACATGTTTTTTTTTTTACTTCGCCTAATCGCCTTTGGCACAGTTCTGGGCAATTTTCATTGCCTTTTCTGGAGGGAGGGGTGTTGCATTCAGTGCCGTATTGGTTAAAGTCATCGATCGTATAGCAAGACATTTTTTAAAGGGCAACTTGGATGACTGAAATGTGACTTTGTTTAATACATTTCAACTCGCACATGAATGCACATGGTCAGCAAGAAAATGTAACAATCTTCACAGAGAGAGGAGTTGAATTGAACTCACCTACTACAGCAGACATGACGTACATCAGGTAGATATTCTGAGCTAAGGTGACGCCAATCATGCCCACAGTGTACATCAAACCACCGACCACGGCAGTGATGCGACACCCAAACCGATTCACCAATACACCGCTCAAGGTACCTATATAAACGACATTAGTCAACTGGCTTAAGGTAAAGAAATCATCTCCTAATGCAACTTCGTGTAACTCCACTTGATGCCATTTCCCTCTACCAAAATGAAGAATGTGCAATTGAAGGCGCATTATCCCAGACCTTTTTGTGGGCGGGTCGTCCATTTGAAAAGTTGGCGAGTTCATATAACTAAAACCCTATAAAGGGGAGTTATTTATCAAGAATTTTTGAAGCAGATGAAAAATTTGAATTTGGAATTAAATGTTTAAACACCCTTTAATTTTGTTTCGTTAGGGGGCGGGACACCTTTCATAATTTGAGGGGTAGGGAAACAATGAATACTACAACATTAATCTAATTTGGCATTGGCAGTTTATAAACAGTTATAAAGCAACATTTTAAATTGTATTTCACTTTTATGCAAGAGGAAGTACATTTTTGTAATAAAAAGGGGAATGATACAAAATGTAAAGTTTTTGGTAATGGCATGTGGTTTTGAACTTGTTGAGGTATCCGTAAGTGATCCTGAGAGTTTCAAAGAGTGTACCCAAATACCCAATAATGCATTAAGCCCCCCCCCCCCCCCCCCCCCACACACACACACAAGTCCACTGACTACATGGACGATTCATTGAATGTTTTACGACACTCGGATCTCCCCTGTCACACTTGTCCGAATCTATAATTCCGTTCATAAACCGATCTGAAATATTATTAATTCGGACACGTTCGGAGAGAAATGTCAAAAAACCAGCCAGAAATGAAAATACACCGATCATTATCCGGTCTTATTCCGGATCTAATAAGTTGCTATTCCGATTGCAATCCGTCTATATTCAGAACCTCTCCGATCATCACCGGACATGCCAAACTCATTGATCTCAAGACCGACCGCTTTCCGAACATTCCGTTTATATTCGGTGCGTCCGTTTTTTGATCGGCATTACAATGGTATGGGTTCGGAATGAACTCTGAATACATACGGTTATCGATCGGAATCGGAGGCCTGTTCCGTACTCTTCCGTACCTATTCCGCATTGCAACGAATGGCAACGAATGAGTACAGTGTGTATTCCGTGCATTCCGTGCATATTCCGTGTGTATACCGGATACCGTCCGTATTGAGGTTGCCGCGACAATTCGGAGAAATTATTAAACAGGTTCAATAATTTCTCCGAGTTCCTCAGTGCATCACCGAACGTACACGAGTATATAGCGTTGGAAAACCGAGGAAAACCGAGGGAAATCCGTTTGAGTTCAGTTCAAACCGATTAAACACCGAATCCACAATGTTTTACTCGGAACATGAACGGAGTGACGATTCGGACAAGTGTGACAGGGGCTTAAGCCTATGAGGGGCTGTAGTAAATATAAAATACTTTGGATCCACCATTATGGAGTTGGCATACAAACTAAACTACACGCAAAGTGCACCAAACTGACTGCAATCGCGCTTATACGCTTTATAAAAAAATACATCGATGATGTTGCTTGCAACATTTTACTGCCTGATCGGACTGATGCGGTTGTTTGACTTTTGACTGGTTGGTCAGTGAGCCTGTGGTAGAGGTAACGGTGTACTGAAACCAAATTCGGGTACAATCAATTCAAATTGAAGGGATTGCTAATAAATAGCCTTATCCCGCTTGATGCCATGTTCACACCTTCCTGAAAAAGCGACACAATTCCCCAAAGAGGATTTTTTTTTTGTCATCTGTCTTACTCTTAGTACGAAGTAAATTTGAAATCGTTTAACGGGAGCTAATACCCTCCGACTTTCAAAGATTGTAGTATTGTAAGACGGTCGCAGGTTCAATTCATATAGCAATCACTATCCTTTTCAAAAATGATCTGATAGACATTAAGAGGGTGTTGATATTGATAAAGAAGGGACCATTTTTTTTATCGTGAGAGAGGCACTGTTGCTTTTGATGGCCAGTTCAGTGACCATTTTATTCGCGTGAGGAGCACCATCATTTTTTACAGGCCAGTTTTCCATCTCGAGAGGGTCACAGTTTTAGTGTCTTCGAGGGGCATTGTTTTCTTCCTCTCGATATTGAAGTTATCCTGAGAAGAGCACTATTGATTTTGATGGCCAATTTCCTGTCCGGAGAGGGGCACAATTTTATCATTACGAGAGGGGTGTTTGGTACAAGAGAGGAGACCATTTTTAAGCGCGATCATAATGTTTTCAAGTGTACGTTTGAAGGGCAGTGTTGTTTTCATCTCGAGGGGGCACATTATTTTATGACCGCAAGAGGAACACTTTTTTTGGCTTGGGAAAATCTGGGGTGCAAGTGCCCCCTGCCCCTCCGGTCCCGCCGCCGAAGGTACCAACGTGTAATTTCTACTCACATCCAAAATAGGAAAACGACGAAAGAATACTTGAGATGGCACCAGTCTGGGCTGAGGTACTCTGGAATTCATTCTGGAAACTGGAGAACAACACTCCGGTACAACGCGTCATCGCCGTGACAAGAAGATGGACAACAAATGCGGCAAACACCACAACGAATCCCCAACGGCAACCTCCTCTCAATAGATGGCGCTTTCCCATGGCTTTTAAATAACAACCACAAAGGGGATGGAAAAACCTGTTAAAGAAAATGACACACTGAACACAGGCAATTATTTTAACCGAAGTTAATTTAAATAATTAAAAAATACAAGGAGTACCTAAATGCAGTCGTACAAATCGAATTGAATTTGATCGGTCTATAAGCCAATTCGACATCTCGTGTGAGCAATGAATTGCGAGACAAAATTTCGGTTTAAACAAACCCACGTGATGCTGTAAGCTAGCCGTCTAGATCTATTGGGCTAGGACTGCGTGACGTGTTTTGTTTATCCCCCCAAAATTAAATTGTTCATGAGAATTTGCACATGCGCGGGTGAAATGTCGAATTGGCTTCTTTTGACGAGAACCTTGGTGTTTTTTTTTGCGAGAGACTTGTATCGACCCCGCGCACTGTGGCTGAATCAAAACCGACTCTAATATTTGAAAAAGATATAATCATGTGTGGCTGCAATAGTACCCAAACGGCTCGATATCTGATGACTAATTCCCCCACTCCCTAAAATTCCTTTGTGTGATAATTTAACGACAACATGCAAACTGTTTAACTCTAAAGGAGCCGGATTATATTGACCACCTTGTAGCCAAGTGATGAAAAATTATAAAACTCGGTGCATGCATACAACAACTTAATAATTATGAACATACCCAAGAAAGTTCATGACTATTGGTTAAAGGGTTTGGGAATTGTGGCTAATTCATATGCACCATTGGTAAGTCTGCTTTGTGTATACACTACATAATAATGGGGACATTAAGTTTTCATGGCACGCAGAGCCGAATTTCTTTTTTTCGCTGCGCGGTAACCCATGGTCCGAATTTTATGTTTTTGGTATCCAAAGATGCGCAAGAATCGAGGCTAAAAAGTCTGGAAAGCTCGGGTCAAGAAATTATTTTTGCAAGGGGATCGTGGATCACGATCTTTTCATCTCTTTTCATGCGTTATTTAGAGACTAAAAACGGCGCATTGAAGACGAAATATGGCTCAATAATTTCATCCTGGAAATTACAAAAAAAACAACAATAAAGAATTTCTATCTTACCTGATTTAGTAAGGGGTACTAAGTGTTTTGTTTGTCATCCCATTGCTCAACATTTTGAAGTCTCCTTTTTACAGGATATACCAATTACGCTAATCCAGCGCGCAGTCGATACCGAACTGTATAGCTTGCTCATCTATGGACTACATGTTGACACGTTCTACACTATAGCGTACAGAGGGTGTCAGTGACAAATTATGCGTCCGAATTCCAAAGTGCATGTCAAAGGTTATGTAAGTCTTCAAGTATATTTGCAAACATAAATACATGACGCTTATTAGCTCGAATTACACCTTTTACAAAGCATTTGGATTTGATACGTGATTTGGTTTAAAAAAAAATCAAGTCACTATGTTTGCCAGGACAAAAACTGCAGGTAAAGCGTGCAAGTTGAACTAAAAATCCTGCGAGATTTTACGGGAATAGGCCTACAGTACATCTGGGCACCATAGATCCACAACGTGTGTCGTCCTGTCCTATTTTTTTAGCATTTAATTTGTGTCCTGACTGATGGGCTTATTCACATTAGGAACACACTCTCGTAAAAGTTGGTCTGGTTAAATTAAGGCTTGCGGTTTTGCCAATTGAGTGTGATCGGCCGGTTACACCTCTATGTTCCGACACCCCTATGTTCCGACTGCACATATTCCTATTCCTAACCCTAACCCTAACCGGGAGTAACACAATCTAGGTTGTCGGAACATAGGGGTGTCGGAACATAGAGCAGTCACCGATCGGCCGACTCAGGTTTGTGCACAAAACCCCCGGCGTAGAGGGGTTTGTGTATAATAGTTGCTGAACCACTTTTTACGAGAGTGTGCTAGAAATGGTATCGAGCGATGGTCGGATGGCTGAGCCTGCGTGCAGCCAAATTTACCAATGGCATTCCTACATTTTCTGGTGCAAATAGGACCCATTTTTCGACCGTAATTTTGTCAAATCTGCCCTTAGATAATAGCCCAAAGGCTATAGGGAGATGATCCTCGGCTATATTCGCACGATTCCACCGATTTTTAAACTAGACGGTCTCTTTTTTTACCAAAAAAAATGTGGGGGGTACTTTTTATGCAAATGACTCGCGTAGAAATTGTCTGAACCCTAATCAATCGCGAATTTATTGCGCCCGCTATCGGTCTAATTGCGCCATTCGGATATATCGTCTGTCTAGCCCCCACCCCCTCCCTCCCCCACCACCGCACAGGAAAACAAATTGAATACTTTTTAAAAACGTGCTCGTTTATTCAGAAATTTCATAAATCATAATATCCAAACTGATTGGATATTTGCAAACTGTCTTTCCCACTTGGAAAAATTATTTTTGAAAGCCCACTATACAAGCGAGATGACCACCGTACCGTGAGTCAGGGGCAATGAACTTAGTTCTGCGAAAGAAAAAGACACATAATACGATTTCACAAAATATTGGGGGGAAAATGCGAATTGACGACATAATAAAATCGTACTCTAACACTGCTTAATCGACTATTCATTTTGGGTAGCCAGTTAACCGCCGGCTCCACAAATTACGTTATTGTTGAGTCTGCCTTTTATTGTTGTTGAGTGATTGCATTTGAGAGAACCAAAAAAAGCAACATTTTACAAATAAATCTAACTAAAATATGGACAATTTTACCTGCAGGGTTATTTTTGACGAGCACGACAGTGAGTCTGTCATGGAAATAAAGGAAGAAAAGTTATAGTTTTAATATTTTTTTGGCAAAACAAATTAAAGCTCCTCGATAAAAACGTATCAGCTATTAACTGTTATTTTACATTCAGATGTTGTTTTTCAAAACTAAATTATTGTATATGGCCTTTCTCTGCTAATCCCCCTTCCGCCCACTTTGTTTTGAGTCACAGAAAAAAAAATGCAACTTGCCCGAAGCGGCTGCTTCCAAACAGGTGTCGTATAGTTTCCAGTCTCTGTGGGCTGACCCCATGAATCCATCAAGCCAGAGCTTGGGCGCGCTAAAATAATAATAATAATAATAATAATTACCGATAATGGGTCACTAGGGAGACCTTCCCTTAGACTTGTGCATAAATAATAGATAGCACTAAACAGCCGTCGGATATACAAACTATGAATGGGTGGAAAGGTTACTTTTGTGGTCTTCTGCATTATGAATGATGACGTATCCAACCTACTAGCGGCGTGTCGGGTCATGCCGCCGGCAGCACGCCCACCAATTCCATTATCACTTCCGCAAACATGTCTGTCTAGTTCCCAATGTTCCGACCTCAGTGGGATGCTTGAATACAGAAGGACAGCTAGGGACCAGCGGATATTGCTGTACGGTTATAAACACACAGCAGCATAATATACGTACCTGGCTCGGCAAAGGGACGAGCAAATCGGTGTGCTGTGGGCACGGAATATTCCCCGCCGGTCAGTTGAATATAGCCGAGGATTTGCCTCAAACGACCGTTTCGAGAGGTAGACCCCGCGTGGAGGGGAAGTGGCAACTACTACTCGAAAACGTAGCAATAGCAGAGGAGAAGGTAATTTCGACGGCCAAAATCATCCTTTGCGAATGTAAATAAATGTGTAATGTGCAGAGAAAAAAGACAGAAATTCAACTGATGTTAATATTTTGGTCTTGACCATCGTGCTGCTGTTTTTTGGCACAGGATAAATGTTAAAGGGACGTATTTTAGTGTGGAAGGCTAAAAGATATACGAGGCCGATGGCCGATGCGCTTCACTGGATGATATAAAAAAGAAATAATAATAATAAATAATTACCCTGGATTGGACATTTGGGAGACATCCCCATAGACTTGTGCACACAATTTTTCAAACTTAAATGTGCCCTAACCCAATATTCCCTTGTCCTTTTTCCACGAATTTCTGTATGTTTACTAATTAGACCACGAGCAACAAATATAACCTAATTGCGACATTAAAATTGTGCCAGTCTAAAGGGGGCTGTGACATTAGGGAGACATGAAAATGTCTCCGTAATGACCGATGTCTTCCATCGTGCGAAGAAATTACGATAACGTGTCTCCTTAATGATGGTACCTTTACACGTATAATGGAAAAGATAAGGCTTCCTTCCAGACTTCCGTTTTGGTGTTAAATTTGATTCCCTGGCTTCAAACGATCTGCTAAACTGCTAAAGATTGTTCATTTTTAGTTCCTTCTTTAATTTAAAAGTGAGCACTGGAGGAAAATTGCATGTAGGCCCATTCAAATAACTAGGAGTACCATTTAATAGAATGACGGTGAATTTACGTAATGTGTTTCATTGTTCCTGCTTTTGCACGATTTGTGGGGGTACTTTTTGGGGGGGGGGGGGGGGGGCGTGTGCATCCCTCTGAAAGCAGGGGTTTTTTTTGGGGGGGGGGGGGCTTTTGCACGATTTTTGGGGGTACTTTTTTTTTTGGGGGGGGGGTGTGTGCATCCCTCTGAAAGCAGGTTTTTTTTTGGGGGGGGGGCACAAACAGATCCGCGCCTTGCGAGCAGACCCTCTGCATGCCTGTCGGTATTATTTACATATTGTTATTCTCACCCCCCCTTTTATATCACCCCCCCCCCCCCCAATTATCTCCCACATACGCTGTCCTTTTCATATTTTTTTGTGCGATTGATCATGATTTTGTGGCGGGAACAGCATAATTTTATGCCGCGTAACTAAGTAGTAACTAATCCTAGGCCGATTTTTTTTCAATCGATGTCTCATTGAAAAGTAACTAACATTTCATTGTTACAAAAATAGCAATTTTGAAAAGGAATCTTTGGGGGGGGGGGGGGGGTGACACTCAAAAATAGCACGGGGAATGCAACTTTAAGGTCACGTGATGAAGATGCTGCTTCTGAAGGTCACGTTACATGAAAAAAATAAAACGGCGGAACGGTTTTCAAACTGGGGGGGGGGGGGGGCAACACCAAAAAGGGGGCACTTGCACAGCCGTGCAGAAATGTCGACACGTTTTTTTCGCCGGACACAAGGCCTCCGCAAAATCAAATAGTGGGGGGGGGGGGGGGGGGGGGCAGCCCCCGGTTCCACCGCCCCTGGTTTAGTTCATAGAGTAGTAACAATGCATAGGCCTATTTGTAAATGTTCCTGTCATTTTTCAGGTTCGGACAGATTAAGTTGCTGCAGTTTCTCCTGGGTGCTTCTGAGGAAAGATGGGCAGGCTTTCGACTACACGTAAAGGTATATAACCGACTAAAATTCCACAATTTCAGTTAAAGCATTATGATATATGGCACAGAATGCCAAGTCAGTGGCTTTTTAGTAAAGGGCGGGTGCATGCACACCGCGAACCCCCCCCCCCCCCAGAATTATAATAATCTTTGAAGGTAATGACAGATCCAGCGGATCAGGATAAAATTACTGTTCGGTGAGAAAAGCATTAGTTCCATATTTCAGACACATATTATTATCTTATTTTGTTATAAAACATTCTCCCAACACACTCAACGCACGCATCAACAAGATAACCAGCACTTATTCCCCCTCCTCAACTACGATTAGCAAGCAAAAACACAAGGTGGACTTCCTCCTACTTGATAACAATATCACCATCAGTGATGCGCAAGTACTTGATCATCGTACATGTGCAGTCATGCCATTTGCATTAATCCCATCGTTTATTGCATGTTTCAGGCCGACAAAGTATGATGGACAACGATGATGGTGACAGAAGAGACAAATCTCGAAAAGCTGTGAAGCGTTCATCGACGGGAGAACCAAAAGGCAAACCGTCTCCCGCGAAAACCAGTCCAAAAAGAAAGCGACAACTCTCACAAAGGGCAGCAAAGCTCCCCAAGACATCTCCCACAACCATGAAAAAGCCGCAGGCCACCTCTCCCGTGAAGACTCCCGCACGTGTGACAACCCGTCAGCTGAAGAAGAGTGTCGCTGTTACTCAAGGCAAGAAGAAACTCAATCATGGTCAGTACCTTCTCTCACGTTTTTACATGTCCAGCAATTATTAATTTAATACAAAATCATTTACCGAAAAAGGGGTCGGTGGAAATTCATCGGTAGACTAGTGTGGCAGGTAGGCCTCTTCAAAATCTCGTTTTAAAAAATTTCATTTCAGATAAGAAGCCAGTTCGTGTCACGAAGCCAAAGGGGAAAGCGACTACTTCTACCGCAAAAGGAAAACGGCAGATTCGAGACAGCAAGGGGACATCAAAAAAGAAAGGTGTAAAAGGGGCTAAAAAGAAGGGAACAACCGTGGTGAAGACAAAGGTAGCGACCACCGCAAAGGGGAGGATGAAGAAGCGTGCGACGGTGGCCAAGCCAAAAGGAGCGGCTATTGCAAAGGGTGGCAAAAAGAAAGGAAAAACAGTAGCTAAGACCAAGAAACTGACGGTCGCAAAAGGAGCAAAGAAGAAGGGTCAAACAGTGGTCAAGTCCAAGAAAGTGAACGTCGCAAAAGGAGCAAAGAAGAAGGGCCAAACAGTGGTCAAGCCCAAGAAAGTGACCGTCGCAAAAGGAGCAAAAAAGAAGGGTCAAACAGTGGTCAAGTCAAAGAAAGTGAGCGTCGCAAAAGGAGCAAAGAAGAAGGGCCAAACAGTGGTCAAGTCCAAGAAAGTGACCGTTGCAAAAGGAGCAAATAAGAAGGGCCAAACAGTGGTCAAGCCAAAGAAAGAGAGCGTCGCAAAAGGAGCAAAAAAGAAGGGCCAAACAGTGGTCCAGTCCAAGGGAGTGGCCGTCGACAAGGGGACTAAAAAGAAAGGGACTAAACAGAAGGAGACGACAGATGTTGAGACCAAGAAAGCCGGTGGCGTAAAGGAAACTAAAGGCAAAAAGAAGAGGGTGCCCAAACATCCCAACAGCAAGCTGACTCCGAATCTAGAGATCCAAGTAGTTGAAAAGGATCCTATGTTTGAAGTCAAGTATGTTGTTTCTTTTCCATCTGCACGGTTTTGAATTTAAGAAGTTGTTAATCCACGCCTGTAGATGTTTATCTACCGCTATTTTGTATACTTTGCAACTTTACTGTGCATGCTGTCAATATTACATTTGCGACGGGCTTCTGACATGGTGCTCGAACAAAGGCGAAAACTACAGATGAATTTAAAAGGAAATCCTAAATCATGTTGATTAGCTTCATTTTTTTTCACACTGTATTTTACGCAGGACTGAGACAGAGATTCCGAAAGTCTCGGACTATGTGGACTGTAAACGGGCCATTCGAGCCGTCTTGACTAAGGACAGCGCCCTCCTGAAGAAACTGATCAATAACACCAATGAGATACCCTCGTTGTTTGTTCCGAGAAGCGTGTGTCTGCAAGATGACGCCCTGGACTACGCAGTCAAGACGGAGAATCTCGATGCTATGAAACTGCTCTACGAAGAATACGTTTCCGGTAATCGGCGTCGGAAATCCATGTCGCAAGCCCTTATGCAACAGCAGGGAACAGGCAGGTAGTGTGAATTTTGGACAACACTTGATTTCTCCTTTTCTGTGCTTAAATTAAGAGTGCTTAGTCGTTGAAGCAAATGTGTATATTTGTTCAATTGAATTTTCATTCTGGAAGAGTTCACATCCGTCAAACAAAAAGCAACGAGAATGATCAGTTATCCCTGTATTAAAATGTTCTTACCAGAATGATGCTTTAATTTGGAAAAATGCCATTTTATTTTCGGTTTCGGTTTTTGAATTCTGTTGATCTCTTTATTTTTTTATTAGACCACATGCATTACACTGATATCGAGCGTTGTATTTTACACCACATTTTTAACTGTTGTTGGGTACTAATGATTGGTCTTTTTTATGGTTGTTACCACATCTAGTTATAATTACCGATCATTGGGACATGCTGTACAGGAAATCAACATTGGCAGGAAATGCAGAGAGGGCAACAACGCGTTCACTAAGGTACTGTACGCAATCCGTCATGTTATTTTCAGTGACCAGTACCTGTTTGCTGACGATTGTTTTATATACCGGCCCATAAACACCGTGGATGACTGCAGAGCTCTTCAGAACGATCTTGATACGCTGCACTCCTGGGCAGCCAAGTGGCTGATGAAGTTCAATTCAGACAAATGCCATTGTCACCCACGGTTAAAACAACAAGCCTACTCTCTCTGGTCAGGCCACATCTTGAATACTGCTCCACTGTGTGGAACCCACATCATCAAACCACTATCAACCAGGTCGAAGCCATCCAGAAGAGAGCAGCTAGATTTGTGCAGAATATCTACCAACGTACTGAGAGTGTGAGCGCAATGCTACAAAACCTGCAGTGGGCTTCACTCCAATCTAGAAGAGAAGCAGCCATCAAGATAATGCTATACAAAATATCCCATAACCTCATCGCATTTAACAAATATCAGTACCTGACCCCCAAAACAGATACCAGACTTCGAAACTACCATCCGGCAAGATACCAGCTTCTCACAACCCATTCCTCCAAGGACATCTACAAGTTCTCCTTGCAGTCCGGTTCTGGAATGCCCTTCCTGCAGACGTCATCACAGTTCTATCAGTGGACGTCTTCAGGGCACACATCTCTGCCAAGTAGCTCCAAGATTGGAGCTTTTTTACTCGCACTTAAATTTTTCTTCTGCACAAACTTCCCCCTGCTTCACATGCACCTTAAACTTCACCTCAGCGTTAACATCCAGAAGTGGACTTTGCTGAGTACCCGTGTAGATATAGATGTAGATGTAGATTTAGGAGGCCATAAGACCATCGTGCTGGCGGTGGTGTAGTAGGTTTCGTTAAAATCGCTCGATCATGCCGTTATTTCTGATTGTATTTTTTTCATTGCGCCTGTTATTTTTATGTCCCTTTTTACGTGATAATATATATTTTTTACCAGCTGGCATTTTCCCCCTTTTTCCTGTCGGTTTTGTTCTCCAGGATATTAATTTTTATCAGAACCCGTACTCCAACGAGCACGAACGTCTGGGAAAGTTCCTAACCATTGGACTGTCGCCACAGATGCTTAACCAGCTTGTGTTTCTTTTCGGAACAGAGAGACACAGAATGGTAAGTGACTTGTCTTGGATTATTAAGTGAAACAAGGAGGAACGTTCCTTTTCTACAATTTGATTTGAATGTGGAGTACTGTTGGAATAAGAAGCTCTTAACACTTGGAAGGACGCAAAATATCGAGTTTTTTTTTTTTAAATCCCCAATATTATATTTCTTCTTCTGAAGAGATTCTCCATCCATTGGTACAGATCGTTTGAGTCTCAAGGTAGTGGTGGTATGCCATTCCGGTGTTTTTTTTTTTTTGGGGGGGGGGGCACCCTGTACATGCATTTGAACAGTTCAGATGTCTGTTATGCTGTTACTTAATATGGACCAATCGTTTTAAGTCTGAATAACACCCAAGCACAAATGAATGGTAGTAATTATATAGAACGTTTGTGCCTGAAGTCTGACTTCGCAGGGAACATTTATCAAGCTGTGAGGGCAGGTCACCATCGGCTGGCTGGAGAGTTGATAAAGAAAACAAATGTTGGCGGAGGATATGGCTTCAACAAGCTCCACGAAGAAGTAAGTATAATCTCACACAGACAAGGACACATCAATTCTGTTGCACTTAAAATCAAATGTGTAGCGGGACAAACGTTTGAGATGGCTTACCTTTCTGTTACACGTACGGATCTGTTAACCGGAACCAATGGTTTGTCTACTGATAAAGATTACAGTTTGAAGTACAGTTATCCTATAGTAGAATAACGAAACAGTTCATGCAAAAAAAAAAACCCAAAAACAGTGGCCTATGAAAAATGTCGAGCATTTCTTGGACAAAATAATTTGTTCGAATAGTAAATAGGCCTACATTTTTACCGGAATTAACCAACAATGAGGCAACTTCTACCAAATTTTGGACATTGTCCAACAGTGTTTTACTCAGTTGTATTTTATAGAATGACAGAGATCGGTTTCAGGTCATTTGGCCTCTCTTTGCAACTCTTCCGTCTCTTGTATTATGTCCACACCGATTGTTTTTCTATTTGTTTTACGGCAGGTTCTGCTGGTCAGTAAACCGGAAAAGCTGACTCCATTCCGAAGTGTGTCAGTGCTCAAGAAACCCCACGGAAATGACAAGGTAATCGATGATTTAATTATGCCATGTATGGACTTATTGGTGCTAGAACTAAAAAGACCATTCCGTGATTTCCGTCTAAAACAACCAATCGCTCTTTGGGGTTCAGGAGTCCTTACTTATTTACAGTTTAAAGTATTTTATATTTTAATTATTGTATATTAATGTATTAAAATAGTTTCCATTTTGGTGAAGATTTACATGCGTACAGGATCTCCCGGTTATTTTAAAACATTTTTCATTTAAATTCACCTACTGTATAACATTCAGTGTCGTCCAAGAAAATACCTCACACGCTGATACAAAATCAATTTAGTCATTTACCATTCAGTTTCAAAGTTTTGTCATATGAGCATATTCGTCATTTCAAATTCGTCATTTCAAAATAGGAAAGGTTGCTTCGAACCAGTCAATTAACATCTTTGAATCTTGTGACTTCACAGATTACCCCTCTGCACTGTGCGGCCATCAACCCCAACCCTAAGATCCTGGCAAAGCTCCTATCCATCGTGCCCAATTACTTCGAACCTGACGATATTGGGTTTTTGCCGATTCACTACGCCGCAGCCTGTGAGGGAAGTGGTCCTCTAGAATTGCTGCTGAAAAAGTAAGACAAAATTCGTTTACGTTCATCTCATGCATCACATCCCCGGTATTGACTAAAGCTTTTGCTTGTGTTTTTTTTTACTAAAATCGAAACTTTGGTACCTCGATTTCTGTTACGACAATCGTCACTTATTTCTGTCACGGGCAGACTTTAAAACCGAAAACTAACGGAGCAAATAAAGGCAAAAATTTTAACAAACTGTACAGGGTGATTAAAAAAAAAGAAACCCAAATATCGGGACCATCGTTTTAGTGAAGTTCTGCATGTAGCACTTTCAAAATCTAGCATATATAAGCCTAATTCATAAGCTTGCTTGTAGTACAAGAATCATTTAAATCACTTATGTACTTGTCAAGTTACGGGATTTCAAACACAACCACCGTTTTAAAGTTCTGTCCTGGGATCACAAGAAGATGATCTGTGTTCTTTCAGCAAAATGAAAACAAATCACATGGATGTGTGTGAATTGTTTTCGTTTTGCTGAAAGAACGCACACCTTTTTTTGTGATCCGTGGACAGAACTATACAACGGTGGTTGTGTTTAAAATTCCGTAACTTGAAAAGTACATGCGTGATTTCAATGATTCTTGTACTAAAAGAAAGCTTATGAATCGGGCTTTCATATTCTAGATTTAGAAAGTGCTACATGCAGAACTTCACTAAAACAATAGTCCCCACATTTGGGTTTCGCTTTTTGTGGTAATAAAACATTCATTTTAATCAATTGTTAACTTTTTTTTTTCCAGAGGTGCGAAAGCTGACGAATTCCAGACGAAGACGATGGTGACCCCACTCATGATAGCTGCGAAGTATGGTCGAGCCCAAAACATCGAAACACTGATCAAGAATATAAAGTCCGGTGCGTCTAGGATTCAAAATACAATATGATGACGAGAGAAAACAATAAGAACATCAACAGTTCATAAATCATTCAATAAAGCAGAATGTTCGCATTTACAACTTCATATAACATAATGATAAAATGACGTATTGTAAACCATGGGTCGTGGATGCAGGGTCGTCGCCAGAGGGGTGGGTAAATGTTGGGAAGGGGGTGTGACACCCCCCAATCAAATTTTCTGTTAGCAAATCCATAATTGTTATCGGCACATTTGTAAAATTGAGGGCCTTTTTTATATTATTTTACTGTTGTCTGAAAATTTTGAAATCTGAGGACCTTTTTAAATATATTTTTGCCTGTCAAATATTTCGTTGGAAGTTTGTCGGCAAATTGTACTTTTCATACCTCTCATATTTTTTTCTGTAGAACAATTTTTGAATTGAGGATCCTTTTTGGGGGGCTTGTCGGATGTTTTGTTCGCAAATTTTATGTTCTAGCGACGCCTCTGCGTGAATGTTTCGCTGTAGACTTTAATGTAACAATAATAATTCAATTTGAAATCACCATTATTCTGAAAATCATGTCATTTAAATCGAACGTCATATACAACTATTGAGGTATTTGCAAGCACCGAACATAACAACTTCACATGCCTTAACCGTAGGTGCTGCCTCCTCTGAGGAAAACCCAGAAAAGATGGCGGTGGGACATAAGACCAAAAAAGGCCACTTTGCAATTCACTATGCAGCAGAAGGAGGGCACGTGGTATGTGATTAACGTATTTAAAATCTATACAATGAATAACAACATCGTTCTTCCGGGCTTTTTGTTATTGCGCCTTAATATTGGTATGCTTCGAATCAATGTCATCAATCATAGTCGAGTTGTGAGATTCTTTTGGATTTGACCATGCATACAAGTCGTCTGTACGTCAAACTGTCGTCACGTCTCGGTGAAATACCCAGTAATCTTATCACCAGCCCTTGCCTCGTTTGTTGAATGTTAAGGATTGTGTTCAGAGCTTGGTCAAGCATGGAGCTGCAGTTGAATCAATGGAGTCGGCTCTCAACAACAAGATCACACCGCTCATGATTGCCGCCGAGAGGGGCTACTTCCGGCTGGCAAAGGTCCTCATTGAGGAACTAGGAGCAGTAATCGAGAAAAGAGGTAAAAGCTCTCCGTGGTTTCAATAGGCCAAATTTGTTCGTTTCTGTTAAATATTTCCTAGGACTCTGAGACACGATTGTCAAAATGTCTGAGTGCAGCAGGTTGGTCCTATAAAGAGAAATGTCAAACACGGTTCATTTCAAACGAGATTATATCAAATATGTTAGTACACGAACCTGGGCTTCATTATGGCATAAAATAAAAACTAAATTGGTTAAAGAAACTTAATTGGATCATCCTACAGATAAGATCAAGCGTACATCGCTGATGCTCGCCTGCATGAACGGCCACTATCCAGTAGCTACTCTACTCCTAAGGAAAGGAGCTGACCCTAACGCCAAGGACTCGTCAGGAAACACTGCCGTTCACTATGCTGCTGCTTATGGCTGGTGGCATTGCCTCAAACTACTGCTCAAAGCTGGCGGGGACCCCAACATCCTCACCGACTGGAAGGTCTCAGTGTTCCTTTTAACCCTTTTAGACAAGGAATTTTAAGCTCTGGTCGAAGTGCAGAGACTGACCTACAGTCCAAATTTAACACATTCTATTCTCTGATTTGTGGTTCTGAAATGCATGAATATACACAGTGCACTGAATTTGAGTTGGAGACATAAAAAATGACCGAAATTTATTCTGGACATTGGTCATCACAATATGCTGACGCGATTGGTCATATATTTTTAATTTTTGTATTTAATAGATTTCGTGGAATTTATTTCTAGGTTCCCCCACTAGGTCTAGCCTACCTGAAGGGCCACTTTGGGTGCGTTGACCTTCTACTTAAGGAGCCGGGCGTGGATGTTAACTTCAGAGATGAAAATGGTGCCACCCTGCTGCTGATAACTTGTGCCCAATCCATGAGTGAAACCACAACGGAACAGTTGGAATATCTGATTAAGGCAGGAGCCGACGTACAGGCAGTAGACATAAATGGCAGAAATGCAGTAAGTGCAGATTTCTCTTCCCCGTATTATTTTGAATTCGCAGAGAGCCGCATGTTGATTATAATCTCGTATAGAAAGCCTCATGCGAGAAGATTGTTTTACATTTCGATTTTTTTTTATTGAAAGATCTGAAGTCCTTTTTGTTTTATAGTTCCGTTAACTTATGATCATGACCGATCTCAGAATGGATGTTGATTGTGGAGCAAGACATTCGATTGGCTTGTGATCGAAGGTTAAACTTAACGATGCATTCCAATCACACACATAATGGCAGTTGGTTGAATAAAGGTCTGAACAGGTGGACGTTGCCAACACAGAAAGGGTTGTGTGTGTGCAGTTGGAATGGCGAAGGTAACAACTCGTTAAAGCCGACTGATTTTCAGGATCAAGTGGCGCCTGAGCTACGACCGGTCGGGACATATCAGTCCCTTAGTTTTGTTTGTTACCAGAGTGTAACTGCGACGATATCAAGACGATTGGCATCAGTCGGAGTTTAACAAAAACAGCCGTAAGAGTAAACAAAATTCAACTTCTGTGCCGCGCGCGACGCAACGTCTTCCCAATAGGCGTGAGTCAATCGCTTACGCCCTATGCGAAGCTAAGTCGTCGATGATTTCATATTGTGAATCGTCGTCGCATCGTGGGTGACAAGGGCATGTATGCGGTTATTCTGTGTCGAGATGCCACTTGTTCAACGATAATAACACTATTTGTCAGTTTTGTGAGCTGAGCATGACATTAGTGCTTGATGCCGACGTTTCCGTCGCAGCGCGAGCAAATCGCAGGTCGACGAGGGCGGCTTTTAGTTTGCCTCTTGCCATTTCATACAATTAATAATGGCGAAACAAAGAACGCAGTGAGTACACAAGTCGTAATCCTCATCCTCCAGCCTGTGTTTAACTCAATTTTCAAATTTACACTTTCTAGCTCCACTTCATTGCGATTCTCAACCAGCAGTCTAACCGCTGGAGCTCGGTAAGTCTTGTTAAAATTTAAATAGTCTGTTTTCTGAAAATTGACAAATGAAATTGGAACGAAATTACTTGATAAGGAATTACCCTGCAAATACTTCCCGTAAAATGAGAGTGATCGATTTAAACCTACATATTTTGCTGTTAGTAGAAATTTCCTCAATGTTAGAATTATTATTCTCTTTAATAAAACCCCGAATCAGGCAGAGTGGGAGAAGTGCAAGCACCCATAGGTTGCTTTAAAGCAACCCCCACACACCTGAAGCGTCGGCGAAGAGACACAAAATTACATGCTTCATGCACTCAAGACAAGGTACAGAGTTAAAGGAGTACTCTTTGATTTTCAACCATTTTAGCCTGACCCTCTCCGATTAACGCTTGAAGTTGTTGCACTGTTAATTGACAAAGGCTGCGACCCTGCACACAGAGACAAGGAGGGGAAAACGCCTCTGTCCATTGCCTTGCAAAATGTAAGTAACCCTCAATAACTTTAAGAAAGTAACTAAAATATTCCATGTACCTTCTTTAAACTGTTAATTTTCACTGGTTTTTTTTCATTTTGCAAGAGCTTAGCAACGATAATTCACGAAATTTCAGGGATAAAATTCCTTTTGCAGAATGTTTCGATTTTCTTCGTTTCACGGCGGGTTTGAAAGAATGTTGTAAATATCGCCAAATACGTGTTCTTTTATATATGACTTGAAACTTTGCAAGGCGGATGAGACTCAATAGAGAAAATTTTGCGGGTAACACCATGTGGAAAGAAATCTCTTCTTGGAAGCAGTGTGGTTCTGAAAGAACCGGTTGGTTGAGTGCAGAACTCTACGTTTCGGACAGTGTCCGTCTTGTCTCTGTCTCACCCTGCTGAGAACGGACAGAGCACACTGTCCGAAACGTCGAGTGCTTCAATCAACCAACCGGTTGTTTTCAGAACCACACTTCTTCCAAGAAGAGATTTCACATGGTGTTCGCCGAGGAAAATCTCTATGTTACGTGTTCTTTTGTTATCAATACGAAACTATTTTTATTTCATTTTTAAAACACACACAGATAGGCCCTACATGGGTTTATTTTAACTTGCCTCAATGGGACAGAACACAAACTCTCAATTTGGTGAATTGTTATGACATTCAACATGGTCATGTTTATTTTCGTCTTGGTATCAGGGTCACTTTGAATACGTGTGGGAGTTTCTGGTTAAGGCTGCTGTTGTGCCATTAGATGCAGACCTGTCTGGTGACAACCCGTTACACTACATAGCCAAGAACTGTAGCCAATCGCGGGCTTCTATCATCCAGCTACTTGCGAGCGTGGTGAGCAATAAGAAGAATATTCTGTTACTCCTTATACATTAACCCAGTGTAATTAATCCACGATCCAAATGGGAAGCCGACATCAAAAACGAATTTGATATGTGCATGAATCATCAATGTGTGTTAAAACAGAGAACAATAACCCCGTCTTAAAGTTTTCAATGTGTGATACTAGGTTAATTTGTTTCACGTATGGGAGTGCTGTGTCCTCCCCATCAAGTCTCTTGCTGTGTTACTCTTTACCTCTGAAATGAATGCACAATGTAAGGAGACATACGCTACTCAGCTGAAATAATAAGCCATAATGAGCATTGGTACTTTGTGAGTATTTTTTTAGTTGAAGCAACAAAAGTGCTCGAAAACTTATGAAGGGATGCTTAAAAAGTAACCTGACGAAACATTTAGCTCAGTCATTGCTGAACGTTCCGAGAAAACAATATTCTAGGATCTCGATTTCCATTAAAACTTGCCGAATCATATTTTGAATTGCGCCCGAAATCAGCGTCCGGGACACGTTCTCATTTAGCCTGTTGCAGCTACGCGATGTATATATAGCTAGAACATTTTTAACAGTATTTTGAAATGCCACTTTTTGGATAGCTGCAAATGCTTCACTGTATTCCCTACGTTTAGGGAATAAAAGAAGAGGTCTGAATGTTTTTTTCCGAGGTAGACATCTTTTTAATAAAGCGTCTTGCCGTACAATATTTTCTTGGTGATGATGAATGTCTTAATTGGCTGCCCACAAAATCATTGTCTGTATTTTAAGGAGATAATACTCTGTCTGATTTTTAAAATTTTATTACAACGAATCTGTATCAAATAAGGTGGAGATTGGGAACAACCATTTAAAATGGTGGAACATCGTACTATTCTAAGAAACACCCACACGATAGCGTGTCGACTGAGCAGCTAATGTGCATGGTGATAGCACATGTATCATTCTGAACATTTCATCAACATTTCACTTCTTTTTTTCTCTGAAATCATCTGCTCTCAGGCAAAGGCTGTGAAATTGGACGAAGCCTGCAAGATGAAAGACCGACAAGGATGCACACCGTTCCTCAGATGCATCGTAGATAACAGAGGCGTAAGTGTCAGACTCGTTTCTTTCGGGTTTTTTTTACCCTTTACAAATCATTAGTAAGAGTAGAATAGTAGTGGACCATGTTTTTGTGCTCGCCCTCAAATGTGGGTAAATATAATTTACATGCCACGAGAACAGTGAAGCTTTTCCAGGATGAATGATTTGAAAGTGAAAATTTCTTTCAACAATTCTCTCTCAATGCAAAGTTTGTAATGAAACACTGAAAAAAAAATTCCATGCGAAGGGCAATATTTCAATAAACGATAATAAAACATCGGATAATAAGTCATCAGTCTGCGACAAATAGACAGAGATCATTATGGAATTCAATTATCAACAATCTTCTATTCTTTATTATTTAAAGTGTGTTTTTCCATCTTTTATTTATTATTATTTTTTTGTACAGCGCTCCTCATCTGAAGATGTGACTGCCATATTTGCGGTAAATACGAACTCTCACCTTCTGTGTGAATTTTGATTTTTTTTTTTTCGTGAAATTTGGAGCGCAGTAACTGCCAATCGTATTCGTCAAAAAGTAAAACTGTTCCTAATTTTAGTAGTTCCTCATTTACGAGTCGGCCATATTGAATTGAAAGTTAGGTAAAATCTTAATTTTTTGAACTTGCGAAGATAAATGAAAGCAATTTAATTGATTATCAAATCCAGTATGCCTCAATAAATAATGTTAAATTTGTGATTAAGCATTCCCTAATGTTTAAAGCCATATTAAAAGAATAAGGCTGCATTGTGCCTGCTAGTCTGGCACCATCCAATTCAACAGTTAAACAATTAATGAAATACATTCAGGGAACTCGACAAAAATGGCCAACTCGTGAATAAGGCCCCATGCAATGCAGGGCGACTGCGATTGCATTATAAATTATTGTATTATAAATTACTAATTTTTTTTAGCATATTTGAAATTGAAAAATCCATTCGACAAACACCTACGAAGGGATTTCTGTGAGACAAAACGTAGACCTACAATTTCTGCTTTCATCAAACTACAGCTGGCAAGTCGACACGATTCATGTTCTGTGATAATGGACATTTTTCCCAGTATCATTCACACCAGTATAGGCTTAGTTTTGATGGTCTCAAGGCACAGCTGGTATCCCAACCCTATTGTCGTGTGCCCGGAGGGCGTGTTTTGGCTAAAAATGTGGAAAACATTTCTTGAAATTATTGGGCGAGCTCTTGAACAGAGAACAAAGATTCGTCTAAATGGGTCTGAATGATTACTTTTCGTTCCTCGTAGGCACTGGCTGAAATATCAGACATCGATGCTCGTGTTGATCGTGGTTCTGATACTGCTCCGCGTGAGTTGATGTACATTTTATTACAAAATTAACAAAAATAATACCACATAATTATACCAAATTAAACCAACAGCTCTCTGACTATAGTGTTCGTTAGTCCGAGTAACTTGGACCCAACTTATCGCCTTTTTAACATTCGGACGTGGTCTGGCGATAGTAGGGTCCAAGCTAAACCGCATCAATCGGTGGACACAATTTTGTAACGGAATCGCACTCGGGATACAGGGACCATCGAATAAACGCTGGGCACGTCCAGATCGCATTGTTCAAACACGAGTCGGAAATTTAATATGTTCACGATTGCGAGGGGAGCTGTCGGAATTGAACGGGAAATTTCACTTTTCATCCGGATCGTAAGTAAACTTTAGTACCTCGATCTTAATCATCGATCTCTACTTATACCTCAGGTGGCGTATTTAGTTTTTTGGAGGCCGTTTTGAGGGAGAAATCTGATGTTTTTGTTGGGAAATGTTGGGGCAAGGACAAAATTGTGTCGACCGACTGATGCGGTTTAGCTTGGACCCTACTATCGCCAGACCATTTCCGAATGTTAAAAAGGCGATAAGTTGGGTCCAAGTTACTCGGACTAAGTATTCGTATCTATTTGAATAATAATCATATGGTCCATAGCTTACAGAGTATAACCATTGTAAACCAGACATTTCAAAAAGAGTGTATGGCCTCATTTTGTGAAGATGAATCGCCCGAGAAAAATATTTCTCGTTTCATTCGTGGCACTTTGTGGTCACCGAAATGCGGTAAACCTATGGGTCCCGCAACCCAGCAAACTCAGCCTGGGTATATTCATCAGTATGTGACGATTTTTCTTGTGTTCACACTTTTAAAAGTCCTACGTCCGTTTCTACCAAAAATCCGGGTCAGCCTTGACCTGACTCTTTTCCGGATCAGGATGACAGTTCTCTGAGTCGTTTTCCCGGGCCATTTGACCCCGAAAAATGTCCTTTTATTTACACGCACAAAAATCTCATTTTGACCTGAGAGATAGTCAGGTCAACTATGACCCTGATCCAGGGTATAATCTGATACCTTTAAGAGTACATACAATGTGATAGGTTGTCATAGTTTCAAACTTCTCTCAGATGATTTCGCGGGCTCCTGTGCTCTTCACTTCCTTGCTACTAAAGCGCCGAGTGATATCTGGTCCAAGATCATTGGAATGAAACCCGCACTGGATGTATTAAATGCTGATGGCAAAACACCGCTGATAATGGCCATAGACGCAAAACAAACCCAAAATGTTCACACACTGGTATGTAATTTCACACTGGTCTGTAATTTCAGCATCCCCTTGAAGATGAATGGTTCCATTTTTCGAAACAACTTTATAATACTAAAACGTAACTAGAAACTTGCACAGTTTTTTATGGTAAAGTCAGACGAGTGACATAAATTTCAAAATACATGCCCAAGAGACTCGATTTTTATTCTACAAAATGTTGTTGTTTTGTAGAACAACTACGGCCAAAAGGCAGGTTAGTCAATTTGAATTGAAATCATTAACCATTGTACTCGAATTGAAGAAGTTCATTATACATTTATATTTTCCCCCGAATTACTAGCTGAGATTTAGCCTAATGTTTCCAGTTGATTTTTAAATAAACGATAGATCTATGTGTTTATTGGCCTGCACGACTCAACATCGAAATTGTCCATCACTCCGTTTGCAGTTGTCGGAGGGAGCAGACCCGAATGCTTCGGACGAGTTTCAACATTTTGCCCTCTTGCGGGCTATTTGGTAGGTCTTAAGCACATCACATTATATTATACAAATAATATGACAACAATAATAAGACGCTTTGAGGGTGCAACATTAGCTCCAATGCTGAGGGGATATTAAAGGTAGAGTATATCATTTGCAGCTATCCAAAAAGTAACTGACGTAATTATTGTTGAAAAACACACTTGGATGAAAGATAGTAAGGGGACTAAACTCCCTGTGAGATAATTCTTTCTGGCAAGCTGTCGTTCTGCGTCCATTTGCATATCATGTAATTATTGGACAATATTTCACAAGCTGCGTTGAAGCGCTTCTAACGCGATTCTACCGCGATAGGTCAATTGACCAATGACCCAAATTTAACTATTTTACCCGTTGTTTATAAATAGTTACTAGTGAAAGTCATATTGAAGCGCAAGCCTCCATTGGTTTTAAATGCATTTACGCCTGGGCATTTTCGATTTACACAAATTTCGCAAATGCTAGCTTCGCTTTAAGGAGGTACCCCACAGGGTGTTTGTATTAGATTTCAGTTTAGTAAGAATTGCACCAAATTCAGGCTAACTAACGCTCATCGAATAATACAAAACCACTGCCGTCTTGCACGCTCCGCTTGAACACATCAGGTCTAGTAGCAGTGGTGCTCCATTGTATTTTCATAATAATATCTCTACGGAGTACAGAATCTATTCTCACCAGTATTATTGTTTTACCAACAGCAATGAACTACCAGATATCATTCCAGATCTCATCGCTAAAGGGGCAAACATCCATGGCTCGTTGTTCAAGAACAAACAACCAGGCATCATGCATTACATCCCTGCCTATATCAGTGAGTTAAATCTTCGCCTTACTGTCAATCTCTATTCTAGACTAACTGTGTTGAAATCATATATATGGCAGTCAAATTCTTTTGGCGCTCACGGTTTACATTCATTTTCTAGCTACTAGCTATATGATAATTTATTTATACTCAGCCGAATACTTACACTGAGTTACCTGAATCCAACTCTGCGATGAGGCATGGAGGTAAGACCGATACCCCACCGAATGAAAACCAAAACACGTGAGCATGTAATCGGTTGTTGTTAACGTCGCTAATATTCGGCGAATAATACCTAAGTTTCACCTGAGTCGTATTGCAGACAAAAAGAATGGACTTTAGTTCAGGAATAAGTTTGAAACTATTCCAAAGGCGGCGATTTCTTGGCAACATGGGGGGGGGGGGGAATGGGGACCAGCAGATCAGAGGGAAAAAAGTGGGGTTGGTGGGGGCTGGACAACACCTGACTACAGTGGGCGCTGTTTAGTGATATATGTATTCACATAAACACAAAAAGTGGACTCGGACTCTCTAATGTAGAGTAAATTGTATAACTTGTATTCAAGAGCTCTCGATCGCCGGACACATTTTTTGGGACTATTTACTGGTGTAATCCCTTTTATATACCCCAAATTTTGTTTTCCCTCCCAACAACTTTTTTTTGGCAGAAGCAAGCATCCACTACTGATATTTAATGAAAAACATTTGGAAGAAAAAATATCTAAGGTCGATATCAGGCCCAACAATGGGCAGCTTCTATGCGCTTTCCCGGGCTATAGAGCGCCCTCATGGAGTTAATTGAGTTCCAGCTCCTCCCAAACCCCCAATCACACCCCAAATGCTTTAATCAGCCGATGGCCTGTCGGACCTTTGGATGTCATTTTGCGAGCATTTCGTGCAGATCCGCCCTTGGTGACTCCTTTGAAATGCTGTTCCCCTCCCCCTAGGTTCTGCCCACTTTGTCAACTTGAACACAACTCAGTTCAACTGGGACATTTTTAGACTCAAGTTCGCCTCGTCAGACAAAACCATCCCTCAGGCTGATGTTTTGGTAAATTTTACAGACACCACCTTTGTGAATTTTCGGACCTTCCATTTCTTGACATAACAAGTCATAATGACTAAAAACACCAATTATGTACTGGATGAATTTGTGGTTCATCAACACAAAGGTTTGAGCCCAATTAGTGAGGAAAGTGTATTGTGTTGTGTATGGCCTCTCCCTCAATCCTGGGGCCTGGGGTCTCCCCATACTTTTTCAGGCCCTGGTTGGTTGAGGTGTCTTACATAACATATGGTTTCGCCGTCCTCGCACCAAGTCCAATAATGGCTTATTATTATACAGAGAATCTTGACGCCAAGCTCCGTACAGCCAAAGAGCTAGTTGCGGCCGGAGCTTCTCTGTCCGCCGTTGACGATGAGAACAGGACGGTCTTGCACAACGCAGTCAACGCGATTGAATCACACGTGACCACGGAGTTTCTGGAGTTCCTTCTGGACCACAAGTTGGATGTCTTTGCTGTGGATAACTTCGGCAGGTTGCCGGTCCATTACGCAATTTACAAATACAAGTATGTTATTTGCAGCATACCTTCGATACCTCGATTTTAAATATTGTATTTGCGTTAAAAAAAACCGGAAAATGCAAAGTGTTCCGAACGATTTAGTTTGTCCCCAAACGTTTCAAGGTGTATCTTTTTTATCATCAAATATATCAGTAAATCATTAGGAGGTGTGCAAAAAGTCCTCAGCTTCATCTCAAACTTTAAAACCATTTTGTTGGGCCTATAATGCACGGAACAAATGACAAAAAGACTCACACGTGGCTTTATAATCAGATAGGATGATGCCCCTATTGGAAAAAAATCGACTAAAACTTAGCTGGAATCTGCAGTGTCGGGGACTAAAAAAATCAGGCAGAGCCGAAGACTCAGACGAAACGCCTTAGTCAATACTGTTCTGATAATGCCCTCAAAATTGTAAGGTCTTAATATTACATAAAAAAAAAGCAATTTCATTCGAATATGTGAGCAGCTCTTTCACCCCCCTTTTCGGGTCTGATGGATGAAGCTAGACCTATATAAAATGACTTTTTTTTTTACCTGCAGCCCATTTGGTGAGAATAGCCCGCTCCGTGGTGGTCAGTTTAACAACGAGTCTCATCTGGATCCCATTGAGACCTTGTCATTGCTTGATTCCGCTATGGATGGTAAAAAACTAAATGTTAAGGACAAGTATGGCCGCACACCGATGCATTATGCCGCCTATAGAGGTGCCATGATCTCGGCTATGCACATCGCTGAGGTGAGTTGAGCTGTTTCAAATACACCAGATGCATGATGTAAATTCATTTCAATTAAATCCCAATTTTGCTGCTAAATCATACTGCGATGGCATCATCTGAAAAGAGAAGTCACATCGTAAAACATTTCCATTATAACAATTCAAAGTTTACATCAAACAGCGACAGAGATGGAAATAATTATGTGAACAGGGTGTATTGAACATTAGTCAGCAAAATACTAGGCTCTGCAGTCCTAACGTGAAACTCACTGAGAATTACTTCTTCATTTAATGTACTCATCAAAAGAGGCATAGAAAAACTCTTTTGTGCAAAGGTGATTTCCATTCCCGTTTTAATTATTTGTATTCTGTTTTCTAAAAGGTCTTCTTCTAACACGGTTCTGCGGGTGTTTTTCTCTTCTTATAAAATTGTATAGATGGTTGATGATATTGATGTAGTGGATCAGGATGGACACACCCCGCTATCCTGGGCCATTCTTAACAGACAAGGAAGGTAAGTGGTAGTAGACATCCTTTGCATTTATTTCTGGTTTAAATTATTGTTAGATCTGGAGGTGCATTAAACTGCTGAAAAAGAAATATTAAACCGCGAATGTAATCAGACCCGTTGTCTGAGTTCTTTTATATACAGTCTTAGCGTATTATATGCAACAATAACACAAATCCCTTTGTCAAGCAACGAACTCGATTATTCTGCTTCGCTTAAAAAAGAGCATTTAAAAAGACATCCAGGATTGAGAAGGGTAAGGAACATTTTACTTGTCTGTTTTCTTATTGTACCCGTGCAAAATTTGATTATCTTTTCGTCAGCAAATTATGCCATGTTCTTTTGAGCAACAACGAAAAATTACCCGTGATTTTGATCTTCTTCGCTTTCTTCGCCTGTCCTTCGTGTCTCCAGCGTTGTGATATGGTTGATCCAACGAGGCGCCAACATCAATCGGGAAGTGAAGCTGGTTGGTTTGGAAAGCAGTGCCGAAGATAAGCGTTTGGAGCCTGCCCAATCAACAGATGAACCCCAGTACTGGAAATGGGAGACTCTAGAAACCCCTGACGCCCCCGATCCGCGGGCACAGACCTCAATCTTCCAGGCGGTGGTGTATGAGGAATGGCAGGGAGCTGTGTATGTTATGATGGATCGCATCGCCAAATGTGCCATCTCCTACGCAGATGCCATCGGGGTAATGCTTCGTAGTTTATTTCTCACGATAAATGTTGGCTTCAAAAGGGGTTTGTATGTATGATTCTCAAGAATGCTCTCTTTCATGGTGGAAAACCTTGATGCTCTGTCAATAGGTAATACATGACCCCCTGTTTAAAACTATTACGGGTGTTTTCATATTGTCATCAATGAAAACAGTGATATGCAGTCATCCAATTTGAACAACCGTTTGGCTCGTATTTTGTTCGATTGGGGATCATTCTTCTTCAGCTGCATGTTTTTTTTTAGGCTGTTCTGGCACAACAGAAGTTCCAACTGGCTAATGAACTGATTCGTAAAATGCGTAATCCGCTCACTCTACAGACAACGAACGACAAGGGTCAGAACCTTCTGCATCTTCTGGCTATCCATTCAGTGAAAGAAAGCCACCGTCAGCGGCAGGTCAGTGAGAAAATAAATCCCCCATTAGGCCTACTTGAACATTTTACCGAACGTGGAATTAACTCAGTCTTGACTTAACCGTGCTGCTCGGCTCATCTTCTCCGTCAAATACAGCATGGACGCTACTTCTCTCATAACAAATCTTCACTGATAACCGATCCAGCAGCGTATATCATTCTAAGTTTTTTGATGATTTACAAGTGCCTACATGGTATTTCTCCTCCTTACTTGTGTGACAACGTGACAGGGCGGGACTAAGATCTTCCAATGATAACTTATTCTATCTACAGGGTGAGTAAAAAAAAACGAAACCCAAATGTCGGGACCATTGGTTTAGTGAAGTTCTGCATGCAGCACTTTCAAAATCTACGATATGAAAAACCAATTCATAAGCTTTCTTTTAGTACAACAATCATTCAAATCATTTATGTTCTTTCCAAGTTCGTAGTTTTAAACACAGCCACCGTTTTAAAGTTCTGTGCACGGATCACAAAAAAAGGTGTGAGTTCTTTCAGCAAAACGAAAACAATTCACATACATCCTTATGTGAGTTGTTTTCGTTTTGCTGAAAGAACACTGAAACTTTTTTTGTGACCCGTGGATAGAACCTTAAAACGGCGGTTGTGTTTATCACTCCGTAACTTGAAAAGTACATGAGTGATTTGAATGATTCTTGTACTAAAAAAAGCTTATGAATTGGGCTTTCATATCCTACATTTTGAAAGTGCTACATGCAGAATTTCTCTAAAACAATGGTCCCGACTGTAGGGTTTCGTTCTTTTTTGACTCACCCTGTATTCCTACAGGTATAAAATCCCTCGGGGATTAATTTTTCTTAAAAGCTGTCCCCAAACCATCGAACACTATTCTCATCAACATGAGGGACGCCCTTTATCTCACCATTTTAAAGAAACGTCTTCAATGCTTCTTATTCATAACATCATAGTCCTCTCTTGTACAGCGCTTTGAGATTTTTTTATAGCGCTTTATAAATATATTTATTGTTGTTGTTGACCTACCGGCCGAATCAACAGACCTACTTTTAGTCCTTTCCATCTATTTCACGTTTTCATTTCTAACCGGAAAGTGACTCTTCAGGCAAGTCAGTGATCCCCAATGTTCTTGTCACGAAACAACTGTTTTCTTGCACACCCTGTTAGTGCCTTGAATGTTTTTCCTTATGAAAAGTGAAGCTGATATGTATAATAGCACAAACATATAAACAGCAGCAAGGTTCGTTCCCTGACCCCTAAGTCTAAGAGCACAACAAGAGATTTTAAAACATGTACATTTGTTGCTGTTGAGTCCAGATTGCCACAACCCTACTCCACAATGGCGTCAAACTATTCGTAACAGACTACAAGGGGTGCACGCCATTGCACTATGCTGCAGTCAACATGAACGTCGTGGTTTGCAGTGTCTTCGCGGGTAAGACACTTAGGTAGCTGTCATTAACCAAAAATCAAATTGTGTATAAGGTGATTTCAATTCGACCTAACACCATTACTGCTAAAGTATCTGTTAATTTTCCTAAATCCACGAGCTGCAGTAAGTCTTGGGAGAAGGACCAACGAAACAAAATGTTCTATTCGCTTTTCTGTAAGCTTTCAGACTTGAACATTAATTGATTGTTTGCTATTCATTCCGTAGAGAAAGATCCAATCGGATTCAAGAGTTGTATCACGTGTGCTGACCACAGAGGCAGGGTACCAGTGGCCTCGCTGTTCTGGAGCTTGTCGTACAACAGTACCAAAGACATTATTGAGTAGGTAGAACTCGTTGTTAATAACCTGGTGGATCATCACATGCAAAAGAAACAGTAGTAATACTAGGGTTTCGTGTCTCAAACTCGGTCAATTGTTTTGAGCTTACCAGTGGAATGAATTATTTCATCAGGTGCAAGGTTTCTTCAGATCAGAGGTGTCAAGACATAGCTTCCGTGCTGATGGTTTAATACATACCTCAACCCCCCAAAAAGAAGAGTTACTTAAACACACCCATCTAATGAGATTACCAATAAGCTGAAAGTGCATCCAATCTTACAACCTATAATGTATCAGTCTAAAAATCAGCTGTTCCTGTAGTCTATCTATAATTTTTGAACAGATTCGCTGATTAATTATGCAAGACAACCGCATCTTGACCTCTAGATTTTGATTAATCAGGGGGCGCTTTCTATGTCGGGTCTTCTGCTGTGCATGATCACTGACTGTCACAAGTGACAGTCAGTGAATCAGTCAGTCAGTCATTTAGTTATTTAGCAAATATAAATTTTTACCTTAAATTCCTCCTATTGCAACAAGATACCGGTATATCAACAAGCTCGTAATGTGAAGATTTGCGGTAACACCCCATGTAGAAATCTCTTTTGAGAAGGTGTGTGGTTCTGAAAAGAACCGGTTGGTTGTGAAACTCGTGGCGCTACCGCAAACCTTCACTAGTTTACACTACCACCCATGCAAAGTTTTAAATTTTAGTTAATTTGTAGTGTAAATAGCAAATTCAGTTAAAGTGTAGACAGATGATGTTTTTATTTCTTTGTCATCCCACGGAAACGGATCCTCGTGGATATGATTAGCTGAGAAACGTCTTATTGTGGGGATGGATTGGTGGTTGTCGTGGGTGGAGACGTGGATCCGGGGGGGGGGGGGTTAGGGGTGGGGATTAAAGTGTCTTGTTTAACGACTTTTTTCATTCGCATTCCAGACTGATACGACAACATAACGGAAGCTTTGATGTGTGCACAGCCTTCCCCAACGTTAGCCTGCTCATTAGAAAGCGACTAACACGCTCAGAATCCCTGCAGGATTGGTACCACAATCTACCAGACGAGAAGACGATTGACGTAACACCGCTGATCCTCATGATTCTCATGAATAACTTTGCTGGTTGTCAACTGCTGGTGAAGAATGGTGCCAATCCCAATGCGACAGATAGGAATGGGGTCACACCACTCATGCATGCTGTCTTGCAGGTATAATCATACCTGAAAACAGTTATTTAAGATAACAGTATTTAGTACTATTAACCAATGATGTGTCAGGATGCGCTCGCGTAATCGCTTTTTTCGCACTAAGTTATGCATTTGAACTGCAGAAGATATATCGTAATCTCCAAACTTTGTTTTCTCAGAATGAAATTGCCGTTGTGAGTGTTCTTGTGGATAAGAACTATGCGGAACCCCTGACAAGTCGCTCTGTGAAGCAGGTGTCACCATGGATAACAAATATCTGGAAGCTGAAAAGTAGGCAAAATTGGATTTATAATGCACGCTTTAATTGCAATTTCTTGATTGCTCAGTGTTAGAAATATTTAATGCAAAGCACTTTATTGGATTAATTCAATTATCTTGACAGAGTCTGGCTCCTATTCCCGCGAAGCTACATATGCTGTTGATGAAGGCTACGAAGCGGACAGCAGTCCAAACCTCAGTCAGTGTAAGTACCAAGTTTCAATAAGCCACTGTACCAATGACGTCAGACTTTGTTTACAGGTGCACTTTGCTATGGAGCCAGTGGGGGCCCTACGGTCCACTGAGCACAGTAGGAATGCACACACGTAAACAAAGTGTGACGTCATTAGTACAGAGGCTTGCATGATAACCAAGCGTTCATTTATGCCGTGGTGTTTAAAATGCAACTATTTTTCTTTTTAGTATATCATCATTTATATTGGTGGCATCCTTTGTGTTTTTACAGTTCCGAAGTGTGAAAAGACCAGCAGCATCAACTTAGACGCTGTTGACTCGCAGGGCCGGACTGCAGTTCACTACCTGATGAAGACCTGTGATTATGGCACCTACGAGAACGTAGAGATGTTAAAGTTGTTAGCACGAGTTGGTGCCAAGTTGTCTGAGCGAGATCATCAAGGCAAGACGCCGCTGGACTACTCGATGGAGACTGGTTCACAAAAGATGGCCGCTGCTCTACAGAAACTGACAGGGGTTGATCCACAGAAACAGGTGTGTGCGTAAAAGAAAAGACTTCCAGACCTTTTTTTCCACGGAACTTGAAATCAATTTAACAAAAGTCAGTCCCCACGAATTCCATAATCTACCTTTTATATTGGGAAGTAAAAGACGGTTATTTAACTCCATATTGCGTAGGACTATGGGCTCCGTGCGCTAACAAAGAGGGTGCGTTTTTACCACTTTTGAGAGCTCTTGGACGGTACACCGCGTGTACGACATTATCCTGAATGTACACAAAGCTAGTCTCCCAGACTAATTACCGCCCCCAATAACTTTGGATCATTCGAAATACGCAGTGGATGGACCGGGAACCAGTCTAGGTAACCCCAACCCTCCTTTAGCGGCCGTTGAAGAAGTACTTGTACACGGAGCCCGTATAGTGTTTTCCAAGTACTCGTAAATAATTCTTTGACGTACCAACATTAATGTGAACATTTGTTCCCATGATGCGTCGATAAGAAAGATTTATGTTTTACAGGTCTTGACAAACCTGTTATGTCATTTTTTTAAAATATTGAACAGGTTGTTCCTAAGCTTGTAAACTCTGAGTGGTTGGATGGTATTGACTTTCACTTCCCTAAACCCGATGTTGACAATGACGCCAAGGCTATGGTTGAAGTTCTGGAAGAAGAGCGTAGCAAGACAAGACAAGCAGATGACATGAAACCCGTTGTTGATACACACTCAGATATGGCTGATTCAGGGTGAGTTACGTACGACTTCTAACAGGAAACCCCAATTTTAAACAAATGGCCTCAACATGTGATTAAAGGTGCAAGTCTTTTCTCAATTTTTACTATGTTGCATTCCAGTGTCTGGTATCGAAGCAAACAGTAAAACAAAGGCTATAAATGTGATTTCTAAAGGGCTGTGGTTAAACTAAAGTACGTTTGTTCCTAGTTATATCGTGCAAACGGGAACACGTTCAAGGTACTGGTGCACATAATCATTTGATTAATTTTCGTTTGAAGCACAAAACAATTCTCAATATCTAAGGTGTATGACAACTATCCCGTGGAAGGTTTAGCTCAGAGGTTACCGTAAATGAAAAGACAAAGATGCATTTTTGTTTGGAGGGGTGGGGGCGAGTAACAGCATTTCTTTGGTAAGGCATGGATTGTTTCCATACGCGTTTCAGGTGGAAACATTTCACAGGGTATGTGGTAACATGATATCCTTGTTCGCGTTGAACAAGGTATTTGTAATAAGTTGCGCGTGGTGCTGTATGTGGTCCAATGGTTACGGTGTTCGGCTCGTGTGCCAAGGTACATGGTTCGAATCATGGCTTGGGCAAGGTACTTTATATACAAAGGTACTTTATATAAGTATAAATGGGTACGAACTTACGAAGGTAGAGACCATATTGCGTGGATCTCGAGCTGCTGCAGCCTGATGAACAGGGATAATTATTGTGATGCGCATTTGATCATCTTTTTTTATTTTTATGGAACTTGCCCAATAAAAATTTATCAATTATTATTTTTATTGATAGGTCCTTTTCGGGTATTACAATATTAATCCGGTTTTTTTTCAAATTCAAATAATTATTGTTAAGAAAACATTCTGGAGCAGACCTTAAAGTTATCTTTCGGATTTTAGGGTTGTACTTATGGACGAGGAGCAAGGTATCGGTTATGACTTAATCATGACAAAAGTTGAAGTGCAGTACGGTACAGAAGGCTTGAACAACTTCTACAAAATGCAGGTAAGACAATTTATCCGGTTGCTAAATAGTTCATAATAATATTTTCCTTATCCAATATCCCATATGTGTGTTCATAGACTATTTCATTACTTTGATTAAACAAATATTGCCCACCATATTTCGCCATTTCCCCTAAAGTATAACAAGAGTTAAAATGCTATAATTTTTGTGGTTGAAAATAAAAGTTCCACTTGAAACAGGGTAATGTTCTATTAGAATTATTTTGTGTATAAATAAATAATGCAAAACAGGTCTTTGTTTTCTCTTATTTGCAAAGAAATAAGCGAAAACTGTTTCTCTAAAGAAGGCCTTGGAAAGATTGAAACTTCATTCTACTTGAGTGGAAAGTCACTCTCAACGACTGAAATTATAAGCACAAGTCGTTTTTAGAGTGAGTTTCATTTAATGGAAAAGATCGAATTTTCACTCGAGCTTCGACTGATGTGATTCTTTTTCATGGTTTTTCAGTCTGAAATAAGAGTGATTTTGAATTTATATTAGAGAGTTATGGCAGTTTTGGTGGTGGAGATTTGAGTTTGCCATGATTTTCAAAACGTTAAACAGAAAAGTCTCAAAACTATACGTGTTTGTTCTCGTTTTCTAGGACTAAAATAAAAGCCCAAAAAATTCTCCATCTATGGTCCGTGTTGCTGTTTGTTTAACTACCAAAATTTTGACCACTGACTTAAACGTAAACCTTCAAACGGCATTTTGGAGAGTGCTTGTTGACAGTACACGGCGTTGGGAAGTAACTGCGTAGAGAAAATGGTCCTGTAGGAAGCCAGATATGGTTGTTAAAAGCCGCTGGTTTCCCTCGGAATAACTCCTGATGTGTCCTCAATTTTTGACTTTTGCCTTTTTTGGGTGTTTTCCCGATAATATTTGGAAGCATAAAACACCTGTATTTTGCAAGCTGCATCTCAATTTATTCTTTCTTTTACCATTTCCATTCACAATCATTTCTTAGTTGATCCATCAGTTGGGTAAGGACATGATTGTGTTGTTCACCCGTTGGGGCCGTATTGGCGATGATGGCAAATTCCAAAAGACACCGTTCGGCACTAAGGAAGAAGCCATCGTCGAATTCAAGAAGATATTCAAGGCAAAGAGTGGAAATGACTGGGCAAATGTCAAAAAGTAAGAATTCATTTCATTTCATTTATTTCATTTTTCGGGATACATTTGTTACAACAAACAATAACATTAAATACTCAGAAATACACATGAACATTTGAGACAAAACATACACAATATAATATTCAACCAGCTCCCGCTGGATTACCCAAAAGAAACATGGTTTCCGGCTGTCGAGGGGCTCTCCAACTGATTAGATATGACACATTAAAAACAATGTTAATAAATTATAACTACGTAAAACTTTAAAGAAATAAAACAATATAACAAGTCCTTAAATGAATAAAACTATGAATAAAACAAAACAATGCATTGTGTTTGAAATTGCTGTGTATACTGTAAATGAGTAAACATAATAAAATAATTTGTTCTAGTACAAGCACCAGCTACACCCCAGGTCTGACAGATGACTCCAAAGCTGTCAATGACTACGAAAAAAACTTTCAGGTTGACCCTTTCAGTGCTGATACTCTTGAATGTGGTGAGAATCTGACCAAAGCCATTACAGAAAGCAGACGGAGGAGATGGCAAGAGTTTATCCAGTCCACAGATATGACTCATAACAGCAGGAAAGCGTGGAAAACAGTGCGGGTTCTTGGAAATGATCTCACAAAGACTCAACCTAGGCCGCAAGTTACTGCCGACCAGGTAGCCCACCAACTCCTTGTGAACAGCCAGGGCAACCCAGACCACTATCCCAGAAGAGCCAAGCTCCCAAAGACTGCTGACACTTCAGATTTCACAAGACCTTTCTGCATGAGTGACCTATGCAGTGCTATTAAAGCCATGAAGAGCAACAAAGCAGCCGGGCTTGACGACATCCTCTGCGAGCAGATAAAACAGCTTGGACCTGCTGCGCTTGAGTGGCTGCTTGACATGTACAATGACTGTATGAGTACCAACAACATCCCTAAGGCATGGAGGAAAGCCAGAACTATTGCTCTACTCAAACCTAGCAAAGACCCAGCCAGCCCTAAGAGCTACAGGCCCATTTCGCTCTTATGCCACACTTACAAGCTGTTTGAAAGACTCGTACTCAACCGGATCGCCCCCATTCGTGGACGAGTACCTTATCCCCCAGCAGGCAGGCTTCAGACCAGGAAAGTCCTGCACGAGCCAACTTCTGAACCTCACGCAATTCATCGAAGATGGGTACGAGGAAGACCTGATCACTGGAGCCGCCTTTGTTGATCTCTCTGCGGCATACAAAACAGTGAACCACAGAATCCTCACCAGCAAGGTCTTTGAGATGACAGGGGACGTGAGGCTGACAGAATTGATCCAGAATATGCTATCAAACAGGCGTTTCTTTGTGGATCTAAACGGCAACCGTAGCAGATGGCGCAGACAGAAGAACGGCCTCCCGCAAGGAAGCGTCCTTGCCCCTCTGCTAGTCAACATCTACACCAATGACCAGCCAGTACACCCCAACACCAGAGGCTTCCTGTACGCCGATGACCTGTGCATAGCCACTCAGAAGCACTCGTTCGAAGAGGTGGAAAAGACTCTCAGTGATGCACTTGCAGATCTTACTCCGTACTACGCTGCCAACCATCTAAGGGCCGATCCTAAAACCGACAAGAGTAGACGATCTGTACCTGTTGTGTGGAATTGCACCCCCATATATCTGACGGGCAGTCGCATCACAGATGGAGAAGCGTAAGCAGGAGAATGACCCCTTCCACCCTCTCTTCGAGCACAAACCAGCCAAAAAGAGACTGAAATCAAGGCACAGCTTCCTTCACTCTGTTGATCCACTTGATGGTAGTGCCTGTAACCGCCGACTAACCCTCTGGTCTGATCACCTCCAGACAAGCCCACACAAGCTCTCCTTCAGCCCCAAGGAATCCCTAACAGCAGGCTCAAGTGAGAAATGGCCCACCTGGTCGTGTCTTAACCGTCTGAGGACAGGGACCGGACGTGTGCAAAGCCCTGATGCAGAAATGGGGATATAATGAGGATGTTGAAATCGCGTGTGACTGTGGGGCTGAACAGTCCATGGACCACCTGCTGGTCTGCCCTCACCTGCCAGAACCCTGCACCCACGAGGACCTAGAGAAGTTCAACCCCCGAGCGAGATCCTGTACTCAACACTGGGCGGGAGTGGTGTGATGACTCGAGAAAAAGAAGAAGCCAAAAAATGGGCTACTTTAGAATAAATAAATAAATATAAAATAGTAAATAATAGTGAAAACAAACAAACACCCCCAACTGAGCAACAAACAACCCAGTTCCCCTACAAACATAGTAAAACATACTGTGGCGCAAATTACTATAGCAGCGTAGTCTAGAGAGGGCGCGCTCGCGGCTGTGGGCCCTATATAAGGCCCCGGGGCAGTTGCGAGACGTCATCTGTAGACTCAGCTCAGGTATACACAGCTCAGTAGACCGAGCGTACGCCGAGATCATCTGCGGGGAAGAGACGGTAGGCAAATTAGCTCGCGCGCGCTGACGGGCGTGTGCTGGGTGGTGCGGTGAAGTCGGGCTGGCATAAGGAGGCACGGAGTCCGCGGAGGCTACTGGAGGCGGAGCGACACACAGCGATCTGCCGATTGTAACGTGACGGAGCCGGAAGGGCGCGCTCATCTACCCGCCGCCTCGAGGAAGGATTGCGACTGGAAACGGTCGAGGGCGGGAGAGTGGAGGCGCACAGGAACGCTGGAGGCGTACGGTTCTTACCCGGGATTCAGAGGCTATCCCCAGCCAGGCATTGCCGTGCTGCCCAGCACTGCCTTACCGTAGCGGCTAATGCGAGGCTACCCCTACAGAGATAATTGAGAGGCTCAGAGACAATCACTTATTAGAGGCTAACATTATAATTTAACGAGAGGTCCATCATATGACATGATTCTATGTAAATAAATCAATCAGTAATTGAGGTCATTGACTGTTGTGTACTTAATTGTCTGTCCTTGTCCATCTTTGAGGTTGAGGGGCGTGGGTGAGTGCTGCTACGCGTATAGGGCGGTATATTTCCATCCAAACGGGCCTGCATTCCCGGCTGCTGGGGTACTGATCCTAAGCTAGGTTGTCTGGGTAAAGGGACTACGGATCGGGTCACAGATATTCCCGCCACAATACAAACAAACAAACACCCCAGCAAACACCCCAAACAAACACCCCAACAAACAAACCAAAAAACAGACAAACAACCGAACAAACAAATGGTGACCTATAGTAAATTCAAGCGACAGTGCTTTAAAAACACTATGAATGTCATCGATAGAAAATATCAATATTAGGGCAAAACCTTGGAGGTCAAGCAAATGTGAGTTTTGTGGAATCTATTGCAGTCATGCGCTCTGGATCAGTTTAAACTGGATCAGTTTAACCTGGAATCTGAATCCAAAATCGTTCCGTCTTGTTCCGGTTCAAAAATGACTGCTGTTGGTATAAAGCAAAGTGGGATTTATCTAGGTCATTTTGACCCAAAACAATGTCATTTTTGACCCGGAAAAGGACTGAGAAAATGTGGATTTAGAATACGGGTCAAAGTTCGCGTTTTAAGTTTAACTGAAACATATAGGCCTGCATGATAAAAACATAGGGACGTACGAATTAGCATCTATGTTTTCAGGAATGTATTTTAAATTAGGCTTTTGAAGTATAGCTGTGATGTTATTGCTTTACTTCATTACACGTGCACTTTGACAACTAATCTCAATTTTTTTTCCGCACTGTAACAGCTTTCAGAAGAAGCCCAAGAAGTACATGCTGGTTGAAGTAGACCCATGGAGGGCGAAAAGGAACGAAGCAATCAAGGAATTCGAGTTTGATTTGGAGTCACCAGTGCCATCCAAACTATCCCAAGATGTACAGCATCTTTTGCTTAAGATGGTGAGCGCTAAAAACTGTGATAGAATGCATGAGTCGAATGTCAAGGATGGGTGTGTTACAAATCATGATAATACGAATCATATCATCAGCAGTGATGACAATGATGACAATGCTTATTGACGATCGCTATAATTATGACAGATTGTTTTATGAACTTGATATGATATTGATGTTTAATTATTTATTCTGACCCTCCTCTTCAGACGAAGCCTCAGGCTCTGAGAATGGCTCTTGGGGAAACAGGGGTAGACGCTTCCATCATGAATTTCAGCCACCTGTCGAGAGACGTGCTGCAAAAAGCCATTGACATCTTGGACAAACTCAGGTAAATACTTAGAATCCTCAGCATTGCAGTATAACAGTGGCACCAAACCAGCTTCATGGGGAAGGTACAAAGGAGACTGGTTTCTCAACTGTGAAAAAAAAATTAGTGTCATTAAAAGAGAATTTTGCTTGCGATGCGCCGGTAAAAAAATTCTCGACTTTTAGTCATTGAAATTAGAACAATAATGGAGGGAACGCTGGAACAATCAATCGGCGTCATACAAATATTAAGTGGTTGCTTGTTTAATTAACATGTTATTTAGGCACAATTTGGACAAGACGTTAGCTCATGCCGGTTCAATGATACTAAACCATTGCCCCCTGACTCCACCTTTATGCAAAAGGTCTATACAGGGTGAGTAAAAAAAATAAAAATTGCTACACCAATGAAGCATGTATTAAACGAAACATTACTTCGGACTGAAATTGATCGATGCTATCAGACTTTATTCCTGTTGTACTAAAATAACCCATTTTTACAGCAGTCTACGGAATGGTAAGTGCATTGAGGCTATTCAGCTTTCTAAGAACAACAGATTACTACACACAAGCATTTAACTACAAAATAAATAGTTTGAGTCAAGGTCTGAAACCGTTTTCTTCTGAAAACGAGGTTTCTGAAATGGTGATGGTGCTTTTTGTTGCTGTTTTTGCATTTGCAAATTTTTATTCATTATTTCGTGAAGGCACAAACGTCCTTGAGGTCCACTGTATTGAAAGGTTACTCAGCATTGTGTGTAAATGATGAAACAAGCGGTATTTCTATTAACGTAGATTATGACTTATGATTAGATTGAAAACATTAAGTGTAATTGTCACAGTTACCAGCCGATGTTCCATCATCCACCGAATATTCAAGTGTGTGTCGATTGATTTGTTCCTTTGTAATTATCTTGGTCTTTTTACAAAAATATATATTCATAAGATGGAATTTTGCATCGGGGTGATGTAAATCAAATTAGGTTTTGCCCTTCACCGACGTATATAAACACTGTATACTCGGTGTGTTACCTCCCGAGTGAAAATTGGGAAAAAATCTCTCCGGTGGAACTCGAACCCACGACCAGGCGCGGTTCTGCATTAGCAAAAGAAGGATGGTGATGTACATGCGAACGGTCTCTCCCTAAAGAAATAGTCGTGACAAGGGTGCATTTGTAGTTAATATAGTGTGAATGATTTTAGGATTTTATTGGCGCTCCCCATTGAAAATATGGCATGAGGCCCCCCACCTATTGATTTTCGGAGGCCTAAGTGTCTGTAGAAAATAATCGGTCTACATTTCAGCACGCCTCCCTGAAAAAAATTCTCGATCCACCCTGCTAGCCCCCCAAACATATTGGTTCTAGAACCGCGCCTGCCCACGACCTCCTGCTTTCTTGTGCAGATGTCTTACAACTCTTACGAATGTCTTACGAATCTGATGTACATAGCAGCGGGTACCGCATTAATTATTTATAATCGTACCGCATTTATTCATAAGGTAACACACGGAGTATACGGTGTTTATATACGTCGGTGAAGGGCAAAACCTAATTTGATTTAAAATATTTAGTTTTACCTTATTAACTCTGAACATTGTGCCATTAATTTGTGCGAAAAAAAAATATTATTAACCTTTACTTTATTTCTATGTTATTTTCACTGAATGGAACAGGCCGCATTTAAATATTTGTCTTAAACGGTCCCTTTCGAAAAAACTGGAATTTGTATCCTTGTGGAGACATTCCTTTGTTCTCGTGTACTAAAGTTTGCGAGTTTGAAAGTGTAGTTTAAAAATGCTCTTATTTTAACCAGAATTAATTTCCTTGGCTGAAATTTGGACTTAATATCCTTTTTCTAAAACTCTTCTATTTGCGACACATCAACATAGCTTGGAAATTCCAAGTTTTGAGTAAAATCCACATATATATTCCTGAAAACCTTGTGGAGACGTATTCATCTATAGAAATTGCCCTATGGAGACGTATACAATCTTTTGTTTCCTATTGTACACACGTCTCCAGAGGGTACGGTGTATCACATCTTTTAGACTCACCGTGTAATGGTGTTTATAATGTTTATGGTAAGGGCCGTTTGAACTGTTACACATAATTGCATACTCCACACACTGCACTTACCACTGTTTGGGTATCCGTACACAGTGAGGCGATCAAAGAGGGTGAGAAAATCGAGCCAGATGGCTTCCAGGCGTCTTTGGAGAAAGTGAGTTTCAAATCAATGGTCATTTTGATACACTTGTGATGGTTTGTGATACTTAATTAACCGAGAAAAAAGGGAAACAATTTCTTTCTGTATCAGTTTCAACAAAATTACAAGAGGTTATTACATATTTAGAATATATATTTTAAAACATTTTTATGGTAGATTTATTCTAGATTTACTGTCGATAAAAAAAAAAAAAAATTGACAGAAACTGGTCGTTATACACTATTGAAAGAATATCCTTTTGGTTACCCCAAGGATTCAACCTTGACCTTCATATTGCAGGCATCGCTGTACCAACGAAACTGTCATGAGGTTTTATGACTGTGGTATCATCATACTCTCCTATTTAATTATTTCAAATTGTAACAAGTTTCGGTTTCGCGAAGGCCAGCTTTATGGGGAGGGGTTTGTACATCATGACAAAAGCGTTTTAATAGACCTTTATCATGCTGCCACCATTTAAGTCATGTTTCCCGTATCCAATAGCAGTACTGAATGATAATAGTTTGTGTCCAAAAAGGAACCCAGCCTCGCTTTGGGTTACGTTGATTTGAATGGGAAAAAATCAAGATGGCCTCTACATGATCATGGTCTATAGCTAAAAAAATTGTTCATCCAAAATAATGTGGATTTTTTTGTGGTACGATTATTGCCATACAGCTGTGTGAACTGAGCAACGAATACTTCTATATAATTCCTCACGAGAACTTTGCCCATGACGTCATGGAGCCCATCTGGTTCACTGCCGACGTTGAGGATCACAAAAAGAAACTCTCCAGTCTGTTGGAACTAGAAATGGCCAACAGAATCCTCTTGGGGGCGACATACAGAAAACAAGGTTTGTTTTATATTTTTTTCAAACCTACCCTTGATCTCTCGATGATCGGTTTCGAAAATAAGTGACTGTCTCGGGTAACCTAGAGGGGCACTCCAGAAAAAGAGCTTACCACTTAACACTGTGCAACAGCGGATATAACATATCTCGGCCTATATTTTGCTAAACAGATATAATCTTTTAAGGAATAACAGCTCCAGTGGAATGATCCCTGCTCGTGTATTGGTGATTGTAACTTGTCGGGGCCATAACAAGTGTTTTTTTTTGTTGTTGTTTTTTTTTTTACCTTTTTTACTTTAATGATGACAGAAGGGGTTAATATAATTAAACTGCCCGATTTAGTTAGAAAGTTCGTGGCGTCACTTCTGGAATCTGTTGTGAATCAAAGCGATCACACGTCACTTAAATTCCTTGTCTGTTTCAGAGATAAATCCTCTGGACTACATTTACCGCTTCTTGGACTGCAAAATAAAACTCATGGATAAAGATGACGAAGAGACACAGCATATACTGCAGTATATCCACCAGTCAAGTGAGTTACTTAACTTGATGGGAGTATCAACCACACAAAGGAAAAAACCCATTCTTCGCAAACTTAATTACCTGTTTTAGGTAGGTTCATCCATGGGCGTCGCCGGGATTTTTTTTTAGAGGGGGTGGGGGCAAAGCAAATTATTTTCTCCCCCCCCAAAAAAATATTGTACTTTCTCTATAGCGTATTCTTAATTTATCATTTTGTCGATACTGGGCGGGGGAACATTTGACTACCCCACCCCCATTGACACCCCTGCGGACGCCTATGTCGTTAAAGGTTCATTACATTATCAGCAAACTTCGCACCCCATTTTTTCCTTTTTTTCCTACATTTTTTTGCTTTCGGGGGGGGGGCAAGCGCCCCCTTGCCCCATCCTGGCACCGCCCATGGGTTCATCACATGAATGTTTTGTGCGCATTAGTGCCTTGTCTGATTTTACGTACCCAGATCACTGTGGTGCTACAAATGTTCCGCTGTTGGACATATCCCATTCAAAAGAGCCTGTTCTTCCGTGGACGTATTCTGCTTTCAAAAAGGCAGTGAACATATGATATTTAGTAATCAAAAAACTGTTGCGAAATACATGTGTTAGGACACAGATCAACAAGACCTACTGTAATTATGATAATGAACCATGCTGTCTACACTATAAAATAAAGATTTACAGGGTTTACATGGAAAAATAAAGTCTGTAATGTATTAGATTTGTGTCAAGCCTTCTGTGAGGTATCCATCTACAAAATCGAAATATTCGTCAAGGATAAAACATTGGCTGTACAATAATATCCGAAACAAGTAAACTGTAACTACATGTAAACTTTTTTTTCGCAGGTGACGGCAATCCTCCAAAAGTGAAGGCTATCTATCGACTGTCACGTGACGGGGAAGAGGAGCTACTGAAAGCATGTGACTTGGACAATCACAAACTGCTATGGCATGGAAGCAGCGTTCTCAACCTACTTAGCATCCTGAAGAAAGGTTTGCAGATTAACCCTGCAGAGGCCCAGCGATCGGGGAAAAGCTTTGGAGAGGTGTGTAATAATATCACTACATGTATTAACATTTCGTGGATGGGTTCTGGTTATAATGACTAGAACTGCTCTTGCTATTGGCATGTGACGAGTTCCGTTTGTAATATTGACAAGATGGCGGTAGACTCACAGTACCAGAAGACAACATGATTACTGTTGATCAGTGTGCGCGCTGATTATAAAGTGACCATGACATGAATGTATACTAAAGTACATTTTTATGCAACTTTCTACTCTCCAGCTTGAATGTTCAGAAACTATTTGACAGCCTTTTTAGATTGGCTTTTGTAAAATGTGCTCTTCTTAAAATATTTACAACTTTCCACAATTCTCCTGACAAGGGAGGGCGCTGTTGGTGTGACGTTATTTCAGGAAGATGCCATTCAGTTAAAAAAAAAACTAGTAACGTTTCGGTGCTGAAATAATTGTGACATCGATTTTTCTGCCTTATATGGCATCACACTTTTGCTCATGAAAATGGAAGTTCACGTTAGCATAGAAACCAAAGAGGCCCCAAAGTACCCTTGAAGATTGCGAAATGATAATTTAAACTTAGGTAAGCGGCTAAATGGAATATGAAGGTGCATTTTCAAGGATTGCATTAAAATAAATGACATCGTATGCGCCTTTTAACCTTAAATAGTAAAAAACAATCAATTATGTGATTCACTTGAAGGGTGTCTACACATCGGACGCGTTTGCCAAGAGTGTTACATATTGCAGGCAATGGGAACAACAACAACCTTCCCACTTTATGCTGTTGTGTGAGGTAAGGTTAGGTGATGTCTTATATTCACACTGCAAAGGTTGTAGTGTACCTCCCCTTTTAAGTTTGATATTTGCAAGCAATATCAGAAGATTTTCAGTTCTGATGACTTTTTAGTAATGTAAGAACCCCCCAAGACCTAACAATGTTAGGAACTAAGTCATTGATTTATGCAAGCAATATCAGACTTTTTTTTATTGAAGATCACTTTTCAGTAATGTAAGAACCCCCAAGACCTAACAATGTTAGGAACAGAGTCATTCAAACAGTAAAAGTACAAGTCAAACAGTAAAATTTCAAGAAATCTTATCATTATACATTGTCGGAAAGTAAGGGAAAATAAACACGAAATTCCGAGATTGTCGTCCGTTATAATTAGGTAGGCTTGCCTCTGCGCCACAAGGAAAGACAATTCTGCATTTGTTTGTAACTGAGCGAGATTAGGCTGAAGAGCCATTCGACAAAAGGACGACTTTTGAAAGGAATTGAAATTGTAAATCATTTAACATCCACGTGTATTGCAGGTTGCCCTTGGCGACAGTCGAAACAGCAGATACGTCGAAGGTCGAACCAAGACAAACGGCAAGCGTAAGCTGTATCTCCCTTCAGGTAGTTTCTCAACTACTTCCTAGTCCTTTCTAAAAGAAATAATACAGGGTGAGTAAAAAAAACCCGAAACCCAAATGTCGGGACAATTGTTTTAGTGAAGTTCTGCATGTAGCACTTTCAAATCATAGGGTATAAAAACCCAATTCATAAGCTTTCTTTTAGTACAAGATTAATTCAAATCACTCATGTACTTCTCAAGTTACGGAATTTTAAACAGAACCACCGTTTTAAGGTTCTGTCCACGGATCACCAAAAAGCTCAGTGTTCCTTCAGTAAAATGATAACAAATCACAAAGGGATATGTGTGAATTGTTTTCGTTTTGCTGAAAGAACGCACACTTTTTTGTGATCCGCGGACAGAACTTTAAAACGGTGGTTGTGTTTAAAACTCCGTAACTTGAAAAGTACACAAGTGATTTGAATGATTCTTGTACTAAAATAAAGCTTATGAATTGGGCTTTTATATTTCACGTTTTAAAAGTTCTACATGATGAGCTTCTCTAAAACAATGGTCCCGACATTTCGGTTCCGTTTTTTTTTACTCACCCTGTACTGGACAGAAATTACAACGGAACCGGGTACGCGACGCAACGACGATATCTCGTGTATACATGACTTTATACAACGACTGAAAAAAATTCTCATCTAATTGGTGGTTCATCGATCGCGTGTCATTAAATAATTCATCCAAACTACAGTCAAGCCGCACCGCAAACACAGAAATTCCATTTTACGGCAAATATAACTTTGCCACCTCGTGACAATTTTCTTTCCCTTGCACTCCTAAACATTCATTAAACAAACGTGTGTACTAGCGAAATACACTTAACACTTTTATACGACTGCACTGCATAAAAAAGTACACTGCATAAAAGTGCAATGCATAAAAAAGTGTCGCGTGTAGCGACACCAGATCTAGGATGTGAAAGCCCGATAAACAAGCTAGTTTAGTACATACAAGAATCATTCATATTTCTCATGTTCTTTTCGAGTTATGGAATGCACAGTCGCAGTTTTTAAATTCTGTCCACGGATCACATTTAAGGTACGTGATATTTCACTAAACTGAAACCGTGCCGTATCATGAAAACGCTATCAGAAAAATCCCTTAAGTCTGTGGGTAGCCAGGAAGAAGGCAGGGCAAGACCATAAACTCGTGACATTATATAAATCGTGTTGTTTCAACATTGGAAGCGGAATTATTGAAAAAAAAGGTTATGAAACGTGCTAGTTGTCATGGTTATGAGATTGTGTTTTTTTAATGGAAATTGATTTGCTGAAATATCACTTACCTTTATTGTGAGACATGGACAAAATTATTATGAAACGGTATTTGTTTTTAAAAGTCTTTAACTTGAATAGTACATTATTGATTTGAATTATTCTTTTACTGTGATATTGCTTATTAAATGGGAGTTTAAAATCCTATAGATCCTGAACGCGCTGCAAAATATAGGCTGCCATTTGGCTTTCCCTCTATTGACTCACCCTGTAAAGGTTGTGGGATAAAGTCCCCTCAGTGCGCAATGTCAACATATTTATTTTCAACCTCAGCTTATAATTAAAAAAAGAGAGAATATGTATCTGTGTATTTGGATTGCTTCCATTTTGCTTCTTTCGGCAGGTGTATCGTTACCTCTTGGTACACTCTATACAGAGGGGCAACATTGGCGCTTTGAAAGCGACTACAATGAGTATGTGGCGTACACAGAGGAACAAGTGTGCCTCCGCTACCTCGTTCATGTGGTCTAAGTGAAGTCGGTGGAAGTTCACATTAAAACGCAGTATTGATTTTACTCATGGAAGATGGGATTTTAATTGTCTTTGTGATTTGCCTCTTTCACAAATTGTCACCGACACCACGAAGTAACACTCCACGTGTTAAAAGATTTTTTTTCAGTTTTCAGTTTTTTATATTGTTAAACATTATTCATCAAGGACTGCCATTGCTCGAAGTTTCAAAGCTTCAAGAGTTTTACTTTTATAATTACGCTAATTATCCATGTCAACTTTTGCGCGAAAGTGACAATTTTTGTTTTTACGAAGTAACACTCAAGTTCCATTTACCATTGTTTTGCATGGCGCGCAATCTGCTCAAATGCGAGCAAAAACGATTTCACGAAGTATTAAACACTTTCCTTGACTTAAAAACTCACCTAGTGCTGTAATATAATACAATTGAAGCGTACTACTTCGTGAAAAAAAAATATTTAAAGTTCGCAGCTTTTTGGGTTTCAGAAACTAGCACTCACATTTTTCTTTCATTTGTTGTTGATTTATTATACAAACGGGTGAAAAACAGCAAATTTAATCAATTCAATATACATTAAGTGTCCACAACGAGAAACCCAACTGAAAATACTCTGCCGTTTTGATGCAAAGTGTTTTTCTAGAAGGCGTTCAACTTTAGGTGCCGTTTTATCTGATTGCTAGTGTTTACTGGTATGTACATGAGTCTTACTTCGTGGTGTCGCTGACGAAATAATTAGGGAGTAAGCCGAATATGAGAGGGTCATTATCCACGACCAGACCTCTATACCGGCCAAGCACATTATTTATTCCCATTCATAATTACCTTTCGGTCAAAATGTCAAAACAAGTAAAACAACGAACAAAATTTCCAACGACTTTTTAAAACATTTTTACCCCATAATTTGTGAAAGACACACTTTTGGTCATGTCTGTGGTATGTGCGGCGCGTACTGCGCAGTTTGGCGCAGAACGCATCAATGTATGAATAAATGCTTAGTCAGTGATTTAAAAGAACCCACGTGACAGGCTCTCGACCAAAACAAGACGACTTTGGGGGCTAAGGGGTCCTTTTTTATTTTTTTTGTTATTCTTAAATACATATATTTCTGTATAAGTAAGTTGAACTTATTACATCTTTGATTTGGACTTTCAATACAAAGAATGGTTACATCATTTGATAGAATTTATAAGGTTATTTACACTGTGATGCTTGTAGGTGTGTCTTTTGTTTTCCACCATTAAGATAGTCAGAAAATATAAGGTGACAGTTTCAATTGGTTAAGTACCTGTTATCATTATGCTTTAAGTTCCAAAACGGTTTTAATTCAATTCATTATTGTCTTTAGTTTTCTTCATGATATTAGTGTAAGAAGACAGTTTCAATGGTTAAGTACCTGTTATCATTATGCTTTAAGTTCCAAAACAGTTTTAATTCAATTCATTATTGTCTTTAGTTTTCTTCATGATATTAGTGAGTGGATAGTGAGGTGGCAGTGGCGAAACTGTATTTGATTCTGTCGAGCACAAAATTGCCCCTGTCATGTTGCAGGCTTGCACGAGTATCCATGATGCACTGCACGTCTTACTGCATGTATTGGGTGTACAAAATTAATGTTTGTGCAATGCACTGTACTATTGAATTGTATTTTCATGATTACGCAACCTTGTATTAAATGGGACTTGGTTTTCTGCTTTGTTTAACTATATGTGCCGGGAACAGCTCACAACTCCTGTTTAGTTGTGCTGCACTTAACAGCAAGACCAGTCATCCATAAAAATCACTAGTTGCCACCTAATATTTCTTTAAGAGATCTATTGTACATATACGCATCATACTCATTTGTAACTTACATAACAAGTTTACGTGGAAAATTGATGATATTGTCTGGGTTTATAAAGATGTTTTCATTGTACTCGTGTGAATTAAGACTGCTTTCGCCGTGGCGAGTGATAGTTAGAGTGACTCCTTGTAATTTGAAGAGTTTACCCAGGGAAACTATTAATTAGTATGCTTCTTCCTCCATTTATGATCTACGAAAAACAAGGATTGTGGTCCAAAGAAGGCGTGATTTATACAATGTGTTTTATTCCATATCGTTGTTTAAAATACAAATTGTCCGATGCTATTATGAATCTTAGTTTTATAGATATTTGTTACTCAGTTTAATTGCAACGTTAGTTAAAAGGAAACCAGTTGTTTGTTTTAAAGACCTCTTAGAAACATTCCGTAGACGTAATAGTGACACATTTTAGCGTCGTCATCATTCTAAAAAAAAAATTAAAAAAATCCGTAGTTGATAAGTGCTTTTTATTTCTTCTTATGTCATCTTAAATTGTTGGCTTGAGGGTTGAAAGAGATGTAGCGGAGAGGGTCGTGTACTCAGAGGACCGGAAGTTCAAATCTAGCTCCAGGTGTCCACGACCAAGGCATTAAACCTACGTATGGTATCTCCATTTTGAGGCGATACAAGTATTCTCTTGTTTACTGCATATTATTGTGATGTTTATGTTTCATGTTTATGTTTCAAGACTGGGCTCTTACGAATCATTTTGAAAGCGTTTTTCATCCGCCTTGGTTGGACTGCATGCATTCGAATTTCATTGCTTGGTGAAATTGGTTAGGCCTATTTCAATGTTTTTTTAAGACATTTGTTGCATATTATTTGTATTTGTTTAATGAAATCACTGTCACGTGCCTGTACAGGGTGAGTAAAAAAAAGAAAGAAACCCTAATGTCGGGACCATTGTTTTAAAGAAGTTCTGCATGTAGCACTTTCAAAATCTAGGATATAAAAGCCCATTTCATAAGCTTTCTTTTAGTACAAGAATCATTCAAATCACTTATGTACTTTTCAAGTTACGGAGTTTTAAACACAACCACCGTTTTAAAGTTCTGTCCACGGATCGCAAAAATGTGTGTGTTCTTCCAGCAAAACCAAAACAATTCATACACACATACTTATGTGATTTGTTTTCGTTTTGGTGAAAGAACACTGAACTTTTTTTGTGATCTGTGGACAGAACCTTAAAACGGCGGTTGTGTTTAACACTCCATAACTTGAAAAGTACACAAGTGATTTAAATGATTCTTGTACTAAAAGAAAGCTTATGAATTGGGCTTTCATATCCTAGATTTTGAAAGCGCTACATGCAGAACTTCACTCAAACAATGGTTCCGACATTTGGGTTTCGTTTTTTGTTACTCACCCTGTATATAAATATCATTATTATCTCTATATATCAATGGTGTAGGTGTCAGTTTATTGTAAGCCTTTGGGGGATTTAAAATATTTTAGCATCTTATGTACGTAGGTGGGAACTCATTAAATATCCATGATATGTTATGGACGAATTTATCATCAATTGGCCCATTGTCCTACTGGTTGTAGTTACTTCAATATTTAAAATATGTAATTAAACATTCCCTAATGTTTAAAGCCAGATTACAAAAAATGACAGTAAATAATGTTCCATTGTGGTCTGCATAAATAGTCTGGCGCCATCCCATTCAGCAGTTAACAATTAATGAAATACATTCAGGGAACTCGACAAAAATGGTGAATAAGACCTTCTTAACCATTGCACGGCCTAAGTTCCATTCACCGTGCATGATCGTCCCATCCCTTTTGATCTATTGCACGCCGCGCGCACGCTAAGTCGCGCAGTGCCCCGACGATCTTTGCTCCATGGGTGCCAAACTTGCATTTGAAGTTGATGCAGTTGCCTTGATGATGTTTTTGCATTGTTTCAAAAATTCACAATTATGTTAATTTGCATAAGTGTCAATGACTTGACTTTTAATCCTTTGTTAGCCTTGAACAAGCTGAAAAAAGGAGTGGATAATGATACAATTTTGTGACTTTACAATTTTCCTCCAATCGAATGACAAAGAGCTTCGCCTCGTTGAATGGAACATTCAATCCTTCAACTCATGTAAATATTCTTACCATTGCATGCACCCATAAACATTCATTATTTGTATATAAACACTCCCATCAAGTTGAATAAGTCAATTGACTGGTGAAAATACTGCAGTATATGCTGTGTCTCTTCGTCATCTCTATCCATGAGTTTCAGTTTGCTTTCTATGAAGCTGTACTATTGTGGGCCAGAAGATTCATTTCTGAAAAAAAAAGACAATGAATTTCGAGGAGTTTAATTAAACTGGCTCCTTTCTTTTGCATCTGTGGACGCGCAGAGATAAAAACTAGTGGGAAAAACGTTAAATTAAAAAAAATCCTGTTACATAACAGTTATAAAACATGGTCCTGACCAACTTGAAATCACGAAAACATGAGCAGGGATCAATTTTCTGGAGCTGTAATTCCTTAATAAAATGTATCTAGAACATGAGATATTCACAAACACCAACCGCACGCATGACACTTTAAGTGGTAACATCTTTTTGCCGGTGTATCCCGCAGGGGAGGATCCAGGAATTTTTGCGGGGGGGGGGGGGGGGTTCATCAGCAAAAACACTCAATTGTAGGCAGGTTTTTTTTCTCCGGTTACTTGGCTTTAGCAAAATCAATGGGGGGGGGGGGGTCGTCCCATACTTTCAATGTGTTTCAACGCGTCAGTTACTTTTGGATGGCTGCAAATGATGGACTGTACCTTTAATAATCGTCGCATTTGAACAGCGCCCCCATTGAAATATTGAGGTTGCCTGACCTACAATTTAGACGTCAGGGCGTCTGGGAATTGTCAGGTCAGGAAACCAGACTAACTTCAGCAGTGTATGCAGTATGCACTGTATTCAGATATTTGCATCAATTGTGAACCTAAAACGTAGCTCACCAAATACGTTAAAGTTTTCTCACGAAGGTCTGGCAAAATTTAGCTTGTTGACAGAAACCCAAGCATGGCCAATAAGGGGAACACGAACGGAATATTCCAGGGGTTACATTCATGCATGACGTTATTATGTGTAATTTGTGTTGGATGCATGTCGGCTACATATGTGATGGTGAGTACTATTTTTTAAACGTGCCATTATGGTAAACCGAAAACAGCATCTAAAACCGGCCAACAACCGGGAAACAAACGGGAAATTCCGTCGAAAGGTGTTTCCTGCACAGTGCCCGGTGACTTAAAGGTAGTATACAACATTTTGCAAAAATCTGATAACAAATTATGAAATACCTCACTTGATTGTAAGGGG